TGGGTAATAAAATATATATATAATAAAAAATTACCGTATTTTGAAAATTTTGATCTGGCACCTCTGTGCACATGATATAGTTTACCTTCATTTATTTTGCAATTAAATTTATTTAAGAATTCCAATATTTTTATATAAATTTATTTCAACTCTTTGGTTGGCCCAATCTATAAATGTTTTATCAGTCTGGGCAATTAATTAAATAAAATGCACAATAATTTCAACTATCTGGGCAACTAGTATAAAAATTGTAATGGACAGATAAAAAAAAGGAAATTTAATAATACTGATATTTAAAACATAGTCCTCTTGACTTCCCCCCCCCCTTTCTCACCTAAGCCAATGAATCTGAGGCCCCTTGGATGACTAAAATATAATTCAATTATAAAATAAATGACCATGAGCAGGGTTGCCATGTCTCCCCCCATCTGTGGGAGTCTCCCACAATTTTTTAGTTTACCCACATACATCTCACTCCCACAAAACTCCCACAATTAGAAATCTCCCACAAAAAGCTCCCACAATTTTTTAATTTCTCCCACAATTTTTTTTTTTAGCATTTTAATGTTTTTAATATATAAATAATAATTTTAAGAGACAGTATTTGATTATTTTTATATTTTTAAAATAAATTTTAAATATTTATTCGAAAAATATGTCTAGTTCTTTTATTTTATTTTTCCGCTCTAAAATATATTTTTTATAAAATTCTCCACTCGACATTTTCAAAATTTTTGTGTTAGAAAGAATAGAAGTTAGAACAGTATGTATAATTATTATAAATATATTTTAAATTACTTAATATATTTTATATCGTTATCTAGAATTGCAGTGCTCCACTCGACATTTTCAAAATTTTTGTGTTAGAAGAATAGAACTTTTAGAAGTGGATATTATTCTGATCTCTAATTCTTTTAAATAAAGTTAGTGGATGAATAATATTGATTAAATAATATTTTTCACTACTTACTTTTATATTATTCCATAAAGTATATGCAAAAGATTATAAATATAATTGATATATTATTCAACAATAGCTCAGTTATAACAAAGGACAATCTACCAAATATTATCATTTTAAAAATATGCGTACCATCATGCAAAATTCATATGCTATCTGTCATCACAATGTGGGTCGAATCTTTTCCCCATAATATTTAACGACTCCAAAATAAGTGCTAACTTTACTTGCGGTAGGACAAAAATGAGCAAGGCTATCACAAATATGTTAGGACCTGAATCCAAGAGGTCAATTCTAGACGATTTGAAAGAAGGAAATCCATATGCTATTTTAACAGATTCATCAAATAAGGGAAATATTAAAACATTTCCCTTGATCCTTCGCTATTTCAACAAGAATAAGGGCATTTCTATAAAACTATTGAAATTTTTTTCATCCGATAGTGAAAAATTCAACGATATAGCTAACCACATAATGGTAAATATAGCTGATTCAGGGTTATCAATGAGTTGCATGTCAGCTTTCTGCGCTGATAATGCCTCTGTTAATTTTGGCAAAAATCAAGGTGTATTTACCGAATTGAGGCAGCACAATAATGAATTAATACCAATTGGCTGTATATGCCATATACTGCATAATTCTTGCAAGAAGGCAATGAATGTACTATCTGTAGATGTCGAAGTAATTGTGATGAAATATTTTAACGAATTTAGTTCATCAACTAAAAGAGTCACTGAATTAAAAGAATTGGTGGAGTGGTCTGATTTGGAATGGTGTGAGTTGTTGCGATATGTACCTATCAGGTGGTTATTATTAATACCTGACATCGAGAGAATTTTAAAATTTTACGAACCCTTAAAGAAATACTTCTTAAATAAAGATTTTAAAAGCTGTCCTAAAATTTTGAAAAATTTTTTCGAGGATGAAATGTCAGAAGCATATTTGGGATTAGTTTCACATGTAGGAAATCTACTTCATGTAGTTAATATTCAGTTGCAATCAAAAGATTCTTTATTGAAAAAGACAAAATCATGCTACAGCTCTGTTCATCTCTACAGTTAAAAATAGATAATAAATTTTATGGCGCTATTGCTAAAAATATTATATTAAAATGTTCTATAATACTCTAATTAATACATTTTTAAATGAAGCAGATATTTTTATTAAGACAATTTTAGAATATTTACAATCAAAATTTGATTTTAATAACTTCTATTTACAAATGTTTAAATATTATGACCTTGGAACAGAAACCATCATTTGATGGTTTTTGTAATTTAATAAATATATTAAAATTACCGATAGACATTGAAGCCTTGTTTGAAGAGATTGTAATTTTTCCATTTTTTATATTTCGCCAGAATACTTAAAGTTAGATGGTCTAAAAGCAGAGGAGAAATGGGTGGAATTTTTTCGTAATAACGATAAATCCCCATGCTTGGAAAAAATTTGCGAGTATTTTTTCTCCTTACCTCATTCTAATGCCTAATCGGAGCGCATTTTTAGCCTGATGAGGACTGCCTGGAGAAAGGAGAGAAATCGAATTGCTTTAACAACATTAGAAGCCGAGTTAATGGTTAAAAAAATTATAAAATGTCATGCCAGGAATTTTATAAATATCTTAATAACGACGGTAAACGTTTAGTTCCATTATTTAAATCTCAAATAAAATATAATTAACTATAACTATTTGACTTTCTATATTTTATAAAATCTTATTTATACATTTGCATAAAATCAAATAAATTTATTTTTTACATTGTTAAATTAATATTTTGAATATTTTGGCAAATCATAAAAATAAAGAAGCATTACAATCTCCTCAAACATGACATAATATTAAATCTTATTAAATTACGATAATAGTAATAATATTCTTACTTTGGTATTTCTGCAGCATAATTTAGTGAACTTTAAATTATATTCTTCTGATTGCAACTGCATATTAACAGCATATAGTAGATTTCCTATATGTAAAATTCCTAAATATACTTCTGCCATTTATTTTTGAAAATTTTTTTCAAAATATTAGGACAGCTTTTATAATCTATTTATTTTTTAAAGGTTTGTAAAATTTTAAAATTCTACGATGGCGTGTATTAGGAGGAACCTGTCAACCAACATTATGCTGACTCAATTCTGTAAATACACTCTGGTTTTTGCCAAATTCACTGAGGAATTATCAGATCAGAAAGCTGCCATGCAATTCATTGGTAATGCCAAATCTGCCATATGGATATTTCATATGTGGAGAAATTTTTTTTAATAGTTTTATTGAAATGACATTAATTTTGTTGAAATAGGGGAGGATCAAGGGAAATGTTTTGATATCTCCTTATTAGATACATCTGTTAGAATTGCATATGTTTGCACATCTTTCAAATCGTCAAGAATTGACCTTCTGGATTTATATCCTAAAACATTGATGATAGCCTTGCTCATTAGTGTTCTACAAAGTATACTTTTTATTTATATTAGTCGTTAAATATTATGGGGAAAGATTCTACCAACATTGTGATGTTAAGTAGCTCTCTTAATATTATACTGCATACCATTTCCGCAACTGTAGTTGCATCTGTATTATTTCTTATTTTTAAAGAATATTTTTGTTTTGCAATAGATGTTGATAGACTGCCCTGTACTGATTTATGCTTTGAAGATTTTTGATGCTTCAAAATATCATATTCCCTTCCCCCATTGTATTAACTAAATACTGTAGAACAACTTCCCCGCACTGATTATAATTATTTTTTACATTGTAAATTTAAAATTGTTTGTTTTTTTATAAAATCTTATTTATACATTAGCATAAAATATATTTTTTTACATTGTAAAAATTACAATTTTTTTATAAAATTTTATCTTGTTATTCTTTTGTATTTAAAAAAGATTGTTGGTTATTATTTTTAAACAAAATTAATATATTATAATAAATCAATATGTTATTTTAATAATAAAGATAGTATTTAAGAAATTTTGTGTCGTACTATAATTACCTATTTTGAAAAATAGCTGCATATTTTATTTTGAAAAATAGTTACCTATTTTATTTTGAAAAAGAGTTGGATATTTTATTTTGAAAAATAGTTGGCTATTTTATTTTGAAAAAGAGTTGGATATTTTATTTTGAAAAATAGTTGGCTATTTTATTTTGAAAAATAGTTGGCTATTTTATTTTGAAAAATAGTTGGCTATTTTATTTTGAAAAATAGTTGGCTATTTTATTTTGAAAAATAGTTGGCTATTTTAATTTGAAAAATAATTACCTATTTTATATTTATAAAAAATAATAAGCGGATAACTAAGTCGGGCTTTTGCCGGCCGTTTTTTAGCAATTTTCATATTTCTCCCACAATTTTTATATTACTCCCACAAAATACCGAATTTCTCCCACAATTTGAAAATTTTGCCTTTGAGAATTCAAGATATCATTGCATTTGCACCCCTTCCCCCATATTTCCATGTTAGAGGTAGAGCCCTGTAATTTATCCTAAAGTCTGGTTCATCAGGGGTTGGGCATGGGCCTAAAAATTAAAATATTTGTCTAAATCTTAATTTATGATTGGATCTGACTAATGTTATTAAAGAACTTGATTTGATCTGATTTTTAAGAATGACTAACTCAATATTTTATTCAAAAAAATATAACTAAAGCCTGAAGATTTGCTCATAAATGGCAGAGAAGCTTAGTAAAATCTTGTGGTTTAGGCAATAATTTTCTATCTAAAATATCGTGTTAGCTATTTTTTCAAATCAAGTATGATAAAACAATTAGTGTTTTTTTACTATATTCATCTTTATAAAATGCTTTAATTTATTTTTTAATTAAAATAAAATTTTGGGCCAGGTCTGTTATAAAATAAAAATACAGGCTCAGGTGTGACTTGGAATTACAAAATATTATATTAATGGCTAAGCTAGGTTCAGGAAAAAAATTTAAATTGAAGAGATTTGGTAAACATTGATCTATAAAGAATTTATTGGTTATATTGAAATCTTAAAAGTTGTTTTGGAAAAAGAGAAATTAATTTATATCAACCTCTTCCGTCAGGAGCTCTATATATTTCCTTGCCCTATATTTGTCTGTCCATAACTTATGGTCCTGATTAATATGCTCAGAATTTGGAGAAATTTCCTTATAATTTTTTAATGAACTATAGAAATTTTACATATTATTAAATTCTGTAATATACCTTGTGGCTTTTACATTTAGTGAATTTGATAATTCATTTTTCTTAGACACAATATGCTATTATTTTTAGCATAAATTAAATAATACCTCTATTATATTCTGTGATTCAATATATAATTCTTTATACGTTTTGAGCAATAATTTCTGTGGCTGATCAACTGGCAACTGTGTTTGAATATTATTTATATTATTCTTAATATCTTGAATTTAAATTAGATTTGCAAATCATGTGAATATTTACCTAAATATATTCTTCTACCATTATTAGATGTGATTGAAAAGATGCTTGGTAATATGACTTCTTTCCCACTTAATATTAGGATATTATTTATTATGAAAATATATGTGGTATACCATGCAATTTTAGAGTTAGTTAATGATTTTATATATGTTTTATTTGCTATAAATCAAAAAATTTTGTAAAAGTCCATAGAAATTAAGATACATAATACATACCTGAATTTATCTCATTTATATTAGATAATTCTGAAAATCTTTTTTTGAAATCAATTATACATTCTTTACTCGTTGATAATTCCATGTGTTTTATATAAACTTAAATTTTACCGCTAAATAGACTTAATTAAATATAATGCCGCGTAAACGGTGACATCTCACATCAATCACATAAAATATGTGAAAATGATATTAGAATTCTCGACGCAACATCTAAATATTGTAGAGTCTTCCTCTCAAATATTTTGACATTTAAATATTTTTGTCACAATTGAAAAATTTGTCATTGGAAATCAAAACCTAAATAGAAAAAGAAATATATACTAAAATTATAGTTGAATCCTTTATTAAATAATAATCAATATAATTAAATACAAAGTGAAAAACATAATCAAAATAAAAGAAAATTAAAATTAATATAAGAAAAGAAAAGAAAAATAAGTAAATTTTAGTTAAAATAATAATAATCTTTTTTCGCATCATAATTTCTCCATTATATATCCTTTTTCTTTAATCAACATTTACATAGTCTCCCTAGCGAAGAATAAAAAGTTCTACATCCCACTTGTTAAAACTGTTAAAGTATGAAAAAATCTACAAATATCGCGTGTTTTTTTCTCATTTACATAGACGGGGATATTTTAATAAAACATTATTTTTGTTTACGATTTGCATAATGCATTTTTTTGTAAAGAAAAACTGCAACAATTTTTATTTATTAAAATTTTATTTTTAGATTCTTTCAATCATTTTATAAGTTGAATTAAAATTTTTACTTACATATCTTAAAATTATTTATCTTCCTGATGCTATTCGCCTAATTTTTTTATCGAAATTATTTTGTTCAATATTTCTAAATAATGCCTAATTATTCCCTTTGTCTCATAAATTATGATGGACACTTTATAATTTTTATTTTTTACTTCATACTTTTGTTGGGCAGCGAAATTAGCATACATAGTATCCAGTAGATAAATTTATTTAATTGTTGTAAAGATTGTATTGGGGCAGGAAACGTAATATATCGATTTGGTGCCATGTAAATTATTATAAATTAGATTTAGGAGGCGGTTAGTATCGATACTGTATTGACATAAACTTACATCATACATTTATATCAAACGGTTTTGGCGATAATTTTAAAATTTATTCCATCTTCTTCTTGATCCAGTTTGAAAAACTTTTATTTTCTTAAATAAGATAATCTTTTATTTTTCGAAAATAGACAGATATAAAAAATAATTTAGTTTTCCTATAATAATAAAATATTTACATTGTTTATTTGATTAAATATATTAAATCGAGTATTTTACATTTTATCTTATATCTAACATAATGATCTTACATTAAGTTTTTTATTTTTTATTTTATAAGAAATTAGAAATATAAAAAACCATTTTGTTTCCACTTAAATTATTGGAATTTTTAAAATAAAATAAGTAAATTGTTTTCCACGATAACCATTATTATGAAAAAATCCGTAAACACTCTCGGTTCATTTGTTGTGATAGACTAATACTAATATAAACCTAATGACATATGTAATTGTATAAACCATTAGTTGAAAAGTTAGATTGAGGAATAAAAGCGTATATATTAAATTATAAATGAAATTTTATTTTACCACTTCTAAAAAAATTGGTTAATGAAAATATTGATAATATTTTGTCAAATTTAACTCAATCATATTGTAATTAAACTCTGATTCCCAACGATTTGTAATCCATCCCCATTTTTGTGATTTATCATAATTTATAATTCCTTGCCCTTTGTGAATCACAACCCTTCACCTCGCAGGCGGAAAACTGAGCTTGGTAAATGGTAGTTGAATTATAATTTCATAATTAATTTTGATTTTTTAATTTATATTTCTAAATCAGTTTTATAAATCTAATTTATCAATATAAAATACCGCCAATAGGAATAGGAATCGAAGAAAATTTTGGGACCGATTAAAACCCCGGAATTTTACTAGATAATAATATTCTAGAATTACCTATCCCAATTTTCAAAACAATCGAATAAATTTATTATCTACAATTATAAATTGTTGAAGAAAATTTCGATAATTTTGACCTACTAGAAAAGTTTACGTTTAGTAAACTTGATTCAACTAAATCGATTAATCATACATAAGAATGTTTCCCAAAAAATAGCTGATAGGATAGTCATAATTAATTTTAAAATTTATATCGCTCAGAAGAAATCCCTCATTTATCAATTGATTATATTATCACTTGATGCGAAGATATCCTGACAACAAAACACCAAGCTAATAAATCCTCTTCATGCATTTATTTTAATCTAAATATACTCAAATGAACATTCCTGATAGTATATCAACTCCTGTTTTTAAAAGCCCTATTTTTTAAAAACGGCCCGATCAAGATTTTAGCCAAAATAATATTGTGTAAGCCACAAAATTTAGCAAGTAGATATCCAAGCCTTTCTACTAGCTATGAGCACAATCTCCAGGCCTACATAATATTATTTTGGTCATAACCTTAATCGGGCCGTTTTTAAAGATCGACCCGAATCGGGCTTTTTAACAATACTGAACTCAAGGATTGACCATCTCGGGGACATTTTTATATTGGTGAAATATATTTAAAGTTAAAGAGTATGCATAGACGTTGCGGGGGAGAGCTAATCCCCCTAAGAAATTTACCTGTTTTCAAAATTTCTAGTAAAAAAAAACTAAATTATTTTTTTATAAATTTGTAATATAACCAAAGAACAATAAATAGACCTAAAGGCCTCTAAATTGGGAAAAAATATGCCTAATACTCCTCCCTCCTACCATATTCCTGGCTACGCCTTTGCGAAGATTTTCAACAATTTATGTAATAGATGTCATGCTTTATTCATGCAGCTTGAATGGAGTTTGGACCCAGATAAGTTTGGGAGAAAAAAAGAGCTGATACAAGTTATAGTTTAAAAGCTCCTAAAATGTAAAAAATAGAAAAAGCACTTTTTTGAGATAAAAATAATTTAAATATAAAACAAAACCTTTATTTTTTTTGATAAAGCTAAAATTAGAATTTTATTTATTACATAAATTAAATTTCAGGAAAGTAAAAATATTATGGTATTTAAAATAAATATATATTTTCTTTCATAATAATTTCTAATAACAATAATAATTAATAAATGAGATTTCGATTATAAAAAAATTATATATGAGAGAAAAGATTAAATGGAAGTCTTTTATTATAAATTACCAACAAGTAATGATTCAATTTACGAATCTAAATTATATAGAAGTTAAGTATTAATAATAAAAATTTTAATTTTTTCCACCGAGATGTATTGTTATAAATATTTTTTTTATAAAATGATAAAACTCTATTAATTTGTATATAATAAATTTCAAAAAATATATATTAATCGTTATGGTGATTCTTTATACAATAACTCTTGCTTCGGTTTCAAAAGACGAAAACTATTGGATCGCTTAATCAAAACCCCATTATTAAAACTGGAATTGCATAAAATTTTGTCTAATAAATTGTCGCCTATGACGTTAGCATCACAAACATCCACATCAGCGCAGCCATGTGCGGAATTACAGTCTAAAAGTAAACCATTGATTATAAGTTGAGCCCTGTGCGAATGTACAAATTTGTGCTTGATTGAGCGTAACATTTTGGCTAATGCCAACCCATTTTTATTTATCTTGAGCGTCGACTCAAATTTTGATAGCAATCTCTCGTTATAGCGATAGTCCGACGTTTCCTTTCCTAGATTTGGATGACTATCTTCGGGGTGAATGTTGTCTAAATAAATTCTACAACTATTGTTTAAAGCTTTATCATTAGTACAAGGGATTTCGATAAGAATATGTTTATCAAGGTTGGAATTATTATCGTTATTGGTATTACGGGTCTCAATATGACATGTTATATCTTGGATTGGTTCAAAAATATTGTGAGTGGAAGATATCGGGTGAGGGGCGAAGAATTGGGAATTTCGTTTATTATTGTGGTGGTGGTGAGATAAACCGTGAAATGAGAAAGGGTGGCAGAGCGATCTGTGGTGGGGAGGTGATAAGGTAGAATTTGGGGAATCGTTGGAATTATTATTGTTTATATTTTGCAAGGCGTATAGTCTAGTATCTTTGTTATTTCGTATAAATTTTATATCCTTATTGGTATCATGGAAATTCGCCAATATTCGAGTATTTTTTTTTTCGACAGGCTTATGCAGGTCTCGAGTCCAGGGAATGTCGCGGAAAAACGTCGAATTTCTATTTGCGTTTGTTTTATTCTTATTTTTAGTAATATCAATTTTATCACCACCTTTTATTTTAAGCTTGCATTGTTCTTTGTTGCCATAATTAGCCCTTTTATCGTTAGATAAAACGGGAGATAATTTGAAGGAATTTAATACACAATCATTGATAGCAGATAAAGATTTAGAAATATCACAGTATCTAGCAGCTAAAATAAGCGATGGTTTTTTATATACTGGATTGTTGTCGTCGGTTATCGAACTTTTGTCACGATCAGTATCTGGAACCTTAATCTTTGGCTTATCGTAATGCAATTTGTCCCATTCGAGTGTTTTTAAGGGCGAACCAATCCCACCAATCTTATTATTATGGCCTTCTTTTGTCGTCAAACACCAATCTACTATTTTACCTATCTCTCGATAGGTTTTGTTAGATCTTTGGACTTTGTCATCTAAAGCCCCTTTAAAATCAGAACTGGGAATAATATTCAAAATGTGATTTGAACGATGATTGTGGAGTGTATTGACTTGTGACATTATAATTTTATCACTTAGATAATTAGCGCTACAATCAGTATTGGTATGGTAATTGATTTTGAAATTGTTGATATTATCAATATCATGATGAATATTTTTATAGTTGGTATAACAATCTAATTTATTATTAAGAAAAGTGTCATTATAAATTGATGGTATCAAGCCATTCCGATGAATTTGGTTTGAGTGAGATGGGATCGGATTGATTCTCAAAAAATCTTTAGTTAGTTGATAATTTTCTAGGGGAGTAAAATGGTTAAAATCATTCGTTTGTTTCGTAATATGGCGTTGATCATCCTTGTTTCCTATTTCCTTGTACGAACGATTGACTGAATTTATTTAAAAAAAACATCATTTAAAAGATTATTAAAGCTATTATATTACGAGACAAATTAAATAATTATATTTGTTTTAAACATAATGAGGCCTCTATAACTACTGGCGGTTTTACCATAAATAATGTTAGAGGTTGGTTAAGCAAATTAAGTGCTATGCTTCATCGGGGTACTTAGCAAATTTTTAATGTTCGTTTTTTAATTTTGAAAGACCTGCATTTAACGGAATCGTATAAACAGATATAGACTACTTTTACATCTCAGTAAATTTCAAAATATTTTCATCAAAAATTTTAAAATTAATATAAAAATGGCAAAATTATTTGGTGTAGGCCCTCTACTAAACATGCTGGAATCTAATTTTTGCAAAAGCAGGAAAATTAAAAGTCGCGAGCTATAAATGATTAAGGTGTTAAAAATTTGCTAAAAACTCAAATTTTCCTTAAACCCTTATGAACATATAATATTTCATTTTGACTATGCCAATTAATGGATCTTTCATTTAAATAATTAATTATTTTGAAGAATTCAAATTGGGTATTTATCAAGTTTAGCCGATAAATAGTACTATTAATATTAGATTGAAATGTATAATTTATAAAATATCTTATGTATTACTTTTGTAGTAATCGTTGTTATAAATGTTGCTCTGGCAAAAATTTTCGAATTTACACATCAAATTGTCACAAAATATTTCGGTAGTGTAAGAATCATTCACGTGATTATAATTAATCCCATGAGATGAATGGGACAGGTAAAGTTTTAATTCGAATAATTTAGGTTTAATATGAGATACGTTTAGATAAGAATTCAATAATGACTGGTAATCTAATTGAGTATCGCTTAAGGGGGTAAAGCGATCCACGGTATTAAACATTTCGAAATCATCGGTCTGCTGTTGTTTATTAAAAAGTTTAGTAGAAAGTTGATCATAATTTTGGATCATGGGTGGGGGGACGCTTTTATTCCTTTTTTTCTTAATACTACTTCCGCATAATTTGCTGTTCGAACTTCTGAAGTCCAGGGTATTGTAATTATTGCAATTATAAATGTCACGATGGTTATATGGTGTATTTCTGTGTTGACAAGAGGAGGAATCGTTAAAATCCGCAATTCTGTCTTCATTTTGAAGTAAGTAAGGATCGACGGGAAATTGAATAGGCAAAGGTCGGTGGTTCTGGTGAAATAATGGTATTCTAACTATATATTATAAAAATAAAAAGGTTAGAATTTGAATTTATGTCTTTTACGCGTTTAAAAATAATATTTTGAATCTAAAATTTTAATAATTTTACAAAAACTAAATTTTTATATATAAAAAATTTACGATTTCAAAACTGATAAGAATATATACCTAAAACTAATTACTCATAATTCGATTTGATTTTATTCTCATTATAAATATCAAATAAATTACTTAATAATATTTGAGAAAAATTATCTACTACTGGTAATGGTTATAAACTTATAATTAATTATTATAAGGGAAATATTTAATTTTTTTTGAAAAAAAAAAGAAAGAAAACCTTAAACAATAATCTAATCTTCACTCAATTCCGATCATAATGGGGATACAAAAAAGCCTTGTAATAAAATATTAGGTGAATAGATAGGGTATTCCCATTTTTAAATTAATAAAAAATAACCCATAATCTTGAATGTCATTAGATTTACCAATAGAATTTTCGGGCAAATCGATATCCATTATAACTAAAGGCGAAAAATGGGACGATTCGTATGCTATTATAATAGGTGTTCTATTTTATTTTTAAAGTTAACATACAAATTATATTATTCGTTTTACATTTATAAAATATAATAGTAAAATGACATTAAAATGGTGGAAATGCTATTTTATTTTTGAACATACCTTTTATGGACACTTTGATCCGTATTAGAAGTAATATTTCCATTACTATTCTGAATATAAAAATCTTGGGGAAGGTATATGCCACCGAAGGTTATGGGTGATAGTGGTTTGCCGTTAATATCATTGAGGTAATCCGGGCTCACCACTATTATCGTCCGGTTCAATATATTGGCCATAACGTAGATATGTATTTCCTCGAGGCTTAAATAGGTGTGCGTATTTTGAAGATTTCCGTGATTGCTCCCAAAATTCCTTTCGCTATTGACGTCGCCTTTTTTGAGGGTGCATGGTATGGGAGCTGACTGATTTAATATAGCGGACCATTCCCGATCCCACTCGTCTGGGCACAAGGATAGACCATACTTTTGTATTTTCGTTTTGAATTTTTTTATTAAATTAAAAGTTTGGAACCGAAAACAGAACCCTCAAATCCGCGTCAAATTTAAGAACACGAACCCACTTTTCAAAATTGTAGGCACCATACGAAATTTTTTTCCCATTTTTGCTACATTTTAAAGTTTAAAAAAATGATCATTCTGTGAATTATAGAAAGCTATATTTAGCTACACCAATGACCTATTAAATATATCTAACCCTGCCAAGCATAAAATATATTTCGTAGTTACAAACAAGAGATGATGGGTACTTAATGAACGGTGAATGAATTTAAATCGAAAAATGATAAATGATGATAGCCGTTATGTTCGCTTGTTTATTCAATATCATCCCAAAGATAAAAAAATAATAATAAATGAATGGCGTGCTATAATTTGAGAAATAAATTTGGATTTAAAAATATTCATCGATATATATAAATTGAAACATTTTTATTTCAATTTTTATTAAAAAAATCGAATAAAATTTATGGAAACATAATATACTAGAATAAAAATAGAAATGATAAATATTTAAGGTTTTAAAGGGTATTTAAGATTCTAAGAAGGTTTCAAAAAAAAAAGAATGATATAATAAGGCTTGATAGTGTGCAAATTAAAACTGTTCCGAACGGATAACAAATTTTCATCATTCCTCTGAACAGATATCACATCTATATGCATTTAAAATTATTATTGATAAAATTAAATAATCATATACAGAATATATCATTAAATGATTATAAAAAATTGATTGATAATAATAAAACATTTATAAAATTTTTATCATCAAGACACCCTTGTTCATCTGTAAATTTTTAGCCACATTAATCTCTTTACCGGGACATTTGATGTCAGAGTGGTTGTTATATTTAATGAATAATAACTTTATATTAATAAAATCATTAAATATATTAAAATCCCAACATTTTTAAAAAAATTATTAAAATTTGTGTCAAAATTATCCCTATTTATATCTAGAGGGTGCCCAAAAAAAATATAATATTAAATTTCTTGATTTTTTTCAGAGATTGTATAGAAATATTGATCTAAAAGTTATGATATATATATTTTAAATTAATATAAATAAAATAAATTGTGATATAAAATTTACCATGTTGTCGTTATCCATTGGGTAAAATAAAATTTGTCTGGTTTATTTTTGTAATAAAATTAACTCGGACATATTATTAAATAAATTTAATAAAAATAGTACTAATAATATTAAATTTGGTGAAATAAAATGTATACATTAACTAATTAAGTTAAAAAGGCGTTAATTAATTGTAAAATACTGCAGTTCAAATTAAGTTAGAAGAAAAATTTGAAATAAATGTGAACTTGTTGATTCAATAGCATCTGCCTATATTTCCATCTCCTTTGAAAAGGACCACCAGGAAACATTAATTCTTAAAATATTTTTTAATAAAAAATAATTATAGCTAGAATATTAGATTCGAATGGTCTATATCCAAGCATCCTATTCATAAAATTTTCATCATTTTATAGAATGATAATATGAATTATATAGTGGTAAGCTAAAAAAAATCCCTAAAAAACAAAAATGAATATCCCCTAGTTTAATAAACTGGTAGTTATTCGAGCATATTAATTATCATTTATTTGAAGCTTCTTGAGCCGTAAAATTATAATAATTCTACCTATATTATTTTTTTTAAATGCTATATAAAAATGCCGATAAAATACATTTTATTTAAATTTAATTTCATAGGAATTTGATGAGGCTTTTTTAACTTATAAACTAAATTCTTTTTTCTAATAAAAATATTTAAAACATCCATTTCCTCAATTTCGATAAAAATTATCAAGTCTCTTAGTTTATTGGACTGAAAAATTCGCTATCACAAATCAAAAAATCCGATCAAACGCTTAATATTCACAAACGTCAGCGACCTGTAGAGGTCAAAACTTCTGGCCAGGATATTTAATAAATTCCGGGCCAAGATTATTTTTAAAAAAATTTTCCGGCCAGAATTTTTATATTTTCATCAATTTTCGGCTTATTCCAGAAATTTAAAAATTTTATTATTTAAATTATTTTAGCTGTATATGACAAATTGGTTCAATGGGGGAAATATTAAACGTTTCATTATATGATTTAATTTATAGTAAGTGGGATTTGTTCGGTGGTACGAAATTAATCGCTAGCGAAATCACAGCTGATTCATCACAGCTATAATTATTGATATACCAGAGCTGCATTATGTTACCTTACCTAAACAATAAAAACCAAAAATTATTAAGTGGTATATGAAAGATTTTCGAAGCAGTATCAAATCGAATCTCGAAAAAAGAACCTAGAAAAGATTAACATTTTAATGGCTAAATAACACGTTTATAATTTAAAGATATTATAAAAAATCTACCTCCAGGTTTCCTAAAAATGAAGGAATAATAAGAAAATATATTTAAAAAATAGGGTCTAAAAAGGGCTGGAAAGAACCCGATCAACTAAATATACCTCAGGGTAAAAAGTATTTGACAGATATACTGCCTAAAGGTGTTTTATATTTCCAAGGAAACAGGTTAAATCTATATGTTATACCTATATATGCCTGGGCCCCTATATCACACAAACGGTGACAGTTCTTCCTTCTAAAGTTAAAAACATTAGTCTCTTATGTACTACAGTGAAAGGGGGGATATTTTTTACCAGATGTTAAAACAAAATAAATTGATATTATTATATTTTTATTTTAATCATACTTAAACATTAATCTATGTTAAAAAAATATTAAACAACTTTTTTAAAAAATGCCACTTGAAGTTTGTACAATTTAAAAAAAATTAATTTTACATAAAAAGTGTATTTACAATATTTTTTATATATTTTCATATTTAATTTAATTTAATTAGTTATCGATGTATAATATCTCATAACTTTAATAATTCTCCTCTACCCAATTACTTCTGAAATTATTCCTTGCCCATCTCAGATGAGAATGAGATGGAAAATTATGAATCATATTCTAACATTTCAACTAATAATTCTTTAGCTACCATTAATGAAAATACAAATCATCCTCTCCTCCATTATTCCTAAACCCAAAAGAACATATCATTGTTGGAACAAAGAAAAGATTGACATGGTAATGAAGATTTTAGCTATGCCAGAGGAGGAATAGATGAAGATTAAGGACATAGCGAAATTTGTTAATAGGTCGAAGGCCTCGATTCATAAAATAAAACGGGATACATTCCCATAAATTATTGGTGATCCCTTAAAGAATTCACTCTGAAACAAAGAGGGAGAAAAATAAAGGACACATCAAACATTGAGAGACAAATTACTATTTGGAGCTGGGCTATCGTAAACTACTAATTGACTAAAGTAATCTAATTATATAATAAATTACGATTAACTTTTAATATTTTAATTGAATAGGAACTACTTAGCAAGAAATTTGGGATGACTATGAACTACCATAAATATTTCATATTTTATATAATCAATATTCATGTATTAGTGTAATTTCTTATATATTTCTTATTATAATATGTAATATATGAATTGAATAAAATATTTAATAATTTATATCTCAAATATGATAAAATAGAGTGGGAGAAAAAAAACTATATTCAGAAATAAAAGATTTTGACTAAGATCTAATAACTAAGATGAATATTTTATCATTATTTTTAAAATTATTCTATATAAAATATCTTTAACTAGGTAAAAGAAAATATGTGATGACAAAACTTTTTATATTTTTTTATAAAAATTTTTTTTTAAGTGTGACATTTAAAAAAGTTGTTTAATATTTTTGTAACATAGATTAATGTTTAAGTATGATTAAAATAAAAATATAATAATATCATTTTATTTTGTTTTAACATCTGGTAAAAAATATCCCCCCTTTCACTATAGGAATTAGAAGACTTGTGTACTATCGAATTATTGAAGGACCCCACAATGGGTGTTCTTCCTAGTTTATCTTAGGCAATTAATATTAATCCATCCAGGTGGCAATTATCATCGCTCCGATTCACAAATGTCATAAAGTATAAATCTTTAATACCAATTTACTGGTAGTCTTCGATAACCAATTTACAGAAAAATCATACATATGATTATAAAAGTTTGTAAAGTACGGTAAGATATCATAAAAAAACAGGAATTGGAAGACTTATATACTATCGAATTATTGCCTATAATGGGTTGCTCTTCCTCGATTATCTTAGGCAATTAATATCAATCTTTTCAGATGCAATTATCACCATGGATAATGATCCGATTCACAAATGTCATCTTATCGATGGCTTTAAAAAAGAATAGAATATCTTCCATCATACTCGCCATAACTCAATCCTATTGAAACTTTGGGATTATGAAAACTAAATATCGATCGATAAATCTACGATCAAAAACGAGAGCTTAAATGATAAATAATATTAATCTGATATTAGATCGGTACATACCGTTAGAGAACTGTACGGGCTGTCCGTAGCCCGACCCGACCCCCGACCTGAAAATAAATAATAATATTAATATCTTAAATAGTCAGTATAATTTATAATATTAATTATAAAATCATATTATTTAATATTTATCACATTTTAGGATTAAAATGTCAATCATATTAACATGTCATGTCATTATTAATTATTATTTTATAAACCTAACAACCGGATACCAAACTATTTTATCACTAAATTGTGTGTTTCCCGTGAATTACAAGATAAGACATATTTTATGTACTAAAGATAAGTTTTATTTATTATTTATTATTTAGCTAGCCTATACATTGTCTTTTTTAACATTTGTTTTAAAAAATTTCCATATAAAATTTAAGATTGGGATTTGATCAGGGGAACTTATTTCTATAATTTAAATTTCACTACCATAAATGTTAATCATCCTAGAAATTAAAAAATATTATATAAAATTGGTAATGATATTCTAAGTTACATTTATATATAAACTATAATCTTTACTTATTTCGTTTTGGTATTATTATTTTTTTATCTATCTACCTTAATATGAGTTGTAAATTTTCCAGCTAATTTTGGTTGTCAATATTTTAAAATATGGCAGAAAAAAATTAGGAAATTAATACAAGATTCTCAAAGAAATTAAGATGTATACTGTGATATGTAAAATTTAAAACATGAATATTAAAAAGAATCTGAACTGTATCTTTTGTCAAGAAAATGAAAAAGATACAAGATTCTTTTCAGAATTAAGGATCTTAGATACATATATTAGTATCTCATTAAAAATGTCAAAATATACTGAGTACAAGATATAATGGGATCTTGTATCATGTATCTTAGATACAAGTATTCGCAGTACTACCCAACTCTGTTTATTTCAATCTAATTGATTAAAGTCATTTTAAATATTTTTTTTAGATTTTAGACACAGCCATATTAAAAAAATTATCTCAATGGATGCAAAATTAAAAAGAATTGGTGAAAAGATTAAGACAAAAGAGTATGAAGTAAGGGAGAATCTTAATGGAAAATCCGATGTATGGAAGAAATTTTCATTTATATATGATGAAAATAAAGAAAAGCTTAATTATGTCATTTGTATTATATGCAAATTTATTTATGTATATAATTCAATAACAACAGGTTAGATATTTATACATAAAATATGATCTTATTAAATTATTTTAGGCACAAATCAACTTAAAAGACATAAATGTGTATATACAAATACAAGTACAACAGCAGAGAGTAAAAAGACACAATTAACAATTGATAGTCTTTTTGGTACTGATCCGAAAAAACTCAAAAGTTGTACAAAATTGAAAAAAGAGTGCACAAAGGTGCTTACTATGTTTTGTGGACGTGATTTGAGATCATTTTATACAATTCATGGGGAAGGCTTTGTTGATTGTTGCCAATATTTTGCCAAAATTGGTTCAATATATGGAAATATTGATGTTAAAAGCATCATTCCAAATCCTACGACAATTTCTAGAAATTTAGTAGATACTGCTGATGGTATCCGCAATAAATTATTTCCTATATTAAACTCATATATGAAAAAGGGTCGATGTGCTGGTAACAAATTTATGAAAATATGGTTAAATTATTAATAATTTTTTATAGCCACCACAGACCTTTGGACTGATGATTATAAAAAAATATCATATGTAACTCTAACAATTCATTTTATAAATGATTCCTGGAAACTAAATAAAATTGTATTGTTTACATGCAAATTTGAAGAGGAAAAAAAGACAGGGGAAAATATCAAAAAGGAAATTATTAGAAATTTCACCTTGTTAGGTATTGATTTCATTAAAAATATTTATAAAAATCCATGTATTCTTTGTATCAGGATACAGCAGGGCCTATTTATCGGAAATTCCAATTATTACCGACCAAGGAGCTAATATGATTATCTTTATTTATATATCATAATTATTCACTTTGTGATAATTTTGATAATGATATTGATGAGGTCAATATAATATAATATGTTCATTATATTTTTATATATTTATTAACTTTTATATCATATCTATATTCGCATAAATGATGCTTATTGTATTATATAATCGTTATAATTTTTAAATTCGCTTGTATATTAATCGTTTTATAATATTTTTTACAAATTTAATAAAATGCAACTTAATATATATCTTGAATAGATTATGGCCGTCAAATAAACTTTTATTTAAGGTGGCTGAACTGAATAAATAAACATAAATTTTTTTTTGGTTATTATAATATTAAAACTAAAATTGCAAAATTTTATTCGGGCTCGGGTCGGGTCGGACTAAAAAATGTGTGCTCGGGCTCGGGTTGCGAAAAAATTACTTTGCAGTTCTCTAATCTTGATTATAAACGTGTTATTAATGGCTAAAATATCAATAACTTTTCTTTCGATGTCCGAGAAATCTTTTTTGTTACAGCCTTTTTTGTAAATTGAATATTCCTAATGAGCCCCCTATATATTCAAGAAAAGCTTCCTGTCTTAATTTATTCACTGAAGATATAGACATATCAATATGGTTAGCAATATCTGTTATCTTATTTTATCTAATTCAAGTATTGAAAGAATTTTCAGATACTCAATTTTGTCTTTATTATTTGTATTTTTTATTTGCAACTATTGAAGAGTAACTTAATAGAATCTATAGGGAATAACTCCCTTTGCTTGCACTCACTAAAAAAATAAATAACGAGATAATATTAAACTAATAAACCTATTTTAGGTTTATATCATTGCAATTATATCCCAAAATATAGAAAATATCTGTGCCAATCTCTGAAAGATGTAGATTATAATGTAAACATAAGCTTCAAATCAACTATAATGTAAATGTATATGTACTGCCAAATAAAAGAGATAGACTACCTTTCCCGAGCATAATCATAACTTTCAGGAATCCTTATGATAACCTTTCATCTAAGTCCCATTTCAGAATCAAGAAAGGAGTTAAACAGGGTTGTGCCATTTCTCCTATTCTCTGAACAAAGTGCAAAATGATACACTAGTTTCCACTTATATATTGGGACATGGTTTAGACAAAAACTGCCACTAGCAGAGACCTTCATGGGCCTAATAAATTTTTTAGCGGGCCTGGGTATCAAGAGAAAATTTTAAATGGGTTTAAACCTAAAAAAATTCAAACTTATTTAAACCAGTTCCTAAATTTAAATTAATAATAATAAATTTAAGCATTGCAAACAAAATTCCAAATACACTGAAATATTGTTTATTTTCTTTGAATAAAATTACATGAGCTTGGGAAAAATTTTTGAAACTTATTATGGCTTGAGAATTTTTTCAAATATGGCAGGAACTATAAATAATTTTACTGTGGGCTTTCCGGGCCTGATTAAAAAATCAAGGCCCATGAAGGTTTCTTCACCAAGGGAATAGGATGATATCTTATGTCGATGACAGTTATTATTAGGATAGATTTAAAGAAGAACTAAATAGGACTAAACAACTATTCTTTTCTAGCGCCACATACACCAATAATAGGAAATTTTGTAAAGGATCTGAGGAAATCAAGAGAGTGACGAACGTTAAATACCTTGGACAACAAAGGTAGTTGCAAGGAGAAACTGAAAATCAGGATACAAAATGAGAGGGTAGTCTTTTATAAATAGCGTAAACTCTGAAGTTAGGGAGATATCTGTTGTGATAGTTGAATAAAATTTTGCAAAGAATTCACATATCAAATGCGAATAGTAAAATTTAGATTTTGTATTGCATTAAAATTATGATATTATTACATTTAAATGGTATTTTAGGGAAAATTGTCTATTTATTATTTTATATATAGACTATTAAAAGATATTTTTTTATAGTTGTTTATGCAAATTAGAGATGATTTTATTCGCGAAAAAAGTATGATTATTATTATTACATTCATTATATATATTTTTTAATTTGTGTAATTTTAGTTTTTAAGATACTATTACTTTTTATTGTTTTTAATTTATGATTTTACTGCTTTTAATTTTGTTACATTATGAAATAAAGGGTAATGTGATTTTATTACAAAGGTATTTAATTTTATATATAATTATTTTTATTATAAGTTATTAATTTGATTTAAATATGATTGTCAAACCTCTATTTTATTATAAGCTCAAAAATCACGAATGAAAATAGTATTCAAATCAATCAAGCATTACACATTATATATTCAAATTTACACTTAAAATAGGCCAAATCTCCCAGAAAATAACTTTAAAAAATCAGAGGTTCTTGTCTTATTAATCCAATTGTCTCTATACAACAGATCTTCAAATAAGAGTTTTCGAACTGTTATACGTATAGGTGCATGTGAGTTGCCCACTAAAATGTAAAGGGCGGGCCTCTTATATTAAGTTTTCCCAAAAATGTAAATATCCAGTTTGAAGGAAATAAAGAATATACCTAGCATAGTTCTGTTGTATCGACAAAATTAGATATGATGCGCTTTTATCACGTATTTTATATTAAATTCACAACTGACCTCTTATTTATTTAATGAGTAAAATGAACAGTATGTGTCTATGGCTTCTAAAATTATTAAACAAAAAACTCCATAAAAAAAATAATTGATATATTATATAAAACTTTATTAATTTATTTTCAATTTTTATTCGGATGCTTTTATATGGCATTCTAGTTCTAGACGAATTTTGAATTTTTTTAATTGTTAATTTTATTTTCAAATCTCTTCATAGACTCATTCACTCATTATTTCAAAAAAATATCATGGCATATATACAAATAAATAATACCATTATTAGAAATATTTTTGGATTGATCGTCATTGTCATTTAAAAGGGTTTGGAATAATAGTTTCCTGAGCTCGAGTGCATTGTCCTCGTGACCATATAGGGCTAATTTTAGGCATTAAAGGATAGATGAAAAAAATAACATAAAAGAAATAGGAAGATATACAGTATCGAAGAGTTTTTTTTTAATAAATAAATAATGAGGGTTTTTATTTTGATGATTAACAACTAAGATTTTTCGTAAGGTGTAGAATTTAAGAACCATGTTAATATACCAACGATTTAATAAGAAAGTGGCATTCGGTCCAGAATTTAATTTAGGACTTCGAACCCGTAAAATATTTTAGCCAGCTTCGGGTTTAAAACCATATAAAAGATCTCGGTTCGGTTTTATAAACGTCAATTAACATTTTTTAATGTTAATTTTTTTAAAAAAATAAAGGGTTATTTTAATATAATATTTTATTCAATTATAACCAAAGCGAATGATCATAAGTATTGAATATCTTTATTATAATACAGAGACCTGCAAATCGATTTTTTCCTAGCACGAGCCCGCCTGAAACCAGGTATAAATTTTTTACACCTAGATCTGATCCGTGCGGGACTATATTTTACTGAATTACCGCCGGCCCGGCTCCGGGTTTGAAAGACCTTGCAGGGTTCTAATAGAAAATTCAATAATATTAATTTATTTTATTCATCAATATTAAAATTGATTCAATCGCACAATCCGAACATATTCCAACAATTCCTCATTAAGGAAAAATTAGTATGAACCCGAACCGAACCTTTTCCAAACATGAATTCGGGTGATTCAGGTTTGAATTCAAGAAAAATGTCATCTGCGCCCGGTACAGCTTCAGGTTCGAAGCCTTGATTTAAACTGCTAAATAAAATAACGTTTTTAAAAAAAAATAATATAAAGAAACAATCATTTTAATCTATACAGAATGTATAACTAAATATTACAATACCCGTTTAAAAGATTATCGAATTTTAAATGACATTAATTAACAAATAAATGTTAAAAAGACCAATATAAATAAATGTTTATATTTTTAAAAGAAAGGGGAGGGGGGGGGGGGGGGGGGGGGCTTTATAATTTTTAAGTCATTAATTTCTCATATAGTGCCGATTCGTATAATTTATTTTGAAGGCTAAATTGCGAATGTCAATTCCAAAGTTTAAAAACCTTTATTTTTTTAAATTTACGGAATAAATTATATAAAAACAACACTTTTAATTATTAACATGAAAATAAACTATTTGAAAATCATATATCATTTTTTTTATATTTATAAATCAATATTTTTTTTCTCTAATACATTCATTTTTCGTATTCATGCGTTTCTTTGTTCTAGTACTACAATCTTTCATTTGACTTTCTTAATTTCTTTCCTTTTATTTTACTTCTTTCTCTCTATACCTAGAACAAATTATTCGTAATTGTTACGTATTTTTCCAATATGAATAACAAAATCGCAAATAAGAAAAATATATTATTCATCAAATAATATTTATCTTATATTCTATCAATTTATACGCAAACATTCGAAAATATTCAAAATATTTGAAATTATTCGTAAAGATTTCACATATATTCTTTGCGGAACCTTATCATTTATTTTTTTAATTTTTATTTCCATATCTATAAATAGCTTTTTTAAATGTTAATAATTCATTTTTTTTTAAATATATTTTTAAGGATTTTAATTTTCGAATCGAATAATTTTTAGGAATTCAATAACATGAATACGAATCAAATACAAATAATGCAAATATTTGATTCGTATTTTTGTATCCTATTCCTATCATTTGTTCATTCTGGAATAGGATGACAAATAAATTTATATACCTAATGATATGGCATGTAGTAAACAGTTCCCGTCCCTCGTCGTATTAATTACCCATAGTTTTGATGATGGATGATTCTCGTTTTGATCCTTAGAAGTCCACCAGTTTAAATTGCCTTATTTTTTTTGTTATAACATATTTTAAATAATAATATATATCAATGGTAGAGCATTAGAGACAATCTAACCGCCATTTATAAAAAATTTAGAATTTTATCAATTAATTGATATATTTTAAAGTTATATATCTAGTATAATCAGAGGAAAAATAGTGTTTAGAAAATTTTTATTGATGGCCTACTCTCAATTTATTTTGTGAAAAGTCTAATAAGGATATTAACTAAAGATCTGCAAAAGTAAGCCGGCCCAATTTTTTTTTAAAAAGATTAGCTTATCGGTGGATCATGCCTAATATTATAATTAAGTTCATGATTGCAAAGATTATGAATTATTTTAAAATTTTGATATTGAATTGCTGCACCATCAGAAAAATAAAAATTTTATATTTTGAAATATTTATTTTAAATCCATCATTTTAGTTTGGAATAAATAAACGGTACCATTGTGTTTTGAACATGATGACAGCATCCTATAGTTAATATTTTTGGTCATAATATTTTCACGATAATACATTAGGGATGACAGCATCCTATAGTTATTTTTGGTCATAATATTTTCACGAATACACTAAGGATGAAAGAACCCATTTGTTTCGGGAAAAACAAATGATGTTTTTGAAAGAAAGTTATTGCTACAATTTTAATATTTTATTGCAAATTCTTAATTTACACAATCATTTAAATAATACAATAAATTTAACAATACAAATAATAGAAAATAAAGTAGGGATGTACCGATATTTTTTATCGAATTGTGCCGAAATTTCACCTAATATCGGTTATCGGCCGATATTATAAAATCATTCCAATAAAATAGTATCTTAATTTTAAAAAAATTTATTTCCAATTCCATAATATTTGTTTACTACTTATTATGTAAATAGATTAATTTAATACATAAATAAGTGATTTATCAATAAAAATATTTTATATACTTTTAGATTCATAAATATAAACTATAAATGATCATTAAATATATTTAAATGACTCATGTTATGGTATAGTTAAATGATAGATTTTATACTATTAAAAAGATGAATTTATGCTTAAGAGCAGCATCATTAATATATTTCTCGTGAAATATGGATGTTGTAGGAAATGTGATACTTATGAAGAATGTAATTTTTTTTTACCAAATTTTATCGTTAATTGTTAATGATTTATTCTGGCTGATCAATTAAATTTCTGGGATCTTTATGATGTAAATTTTTATCTAAGCTGAATGGATTACAACTAGTGGCCATTTTAAAACGGCTAACTCAATATTTTAGGTAGGAAAATCTAATTGATGTACAAATCTTTGTACCATCTATGAGCCAAATCTTATAGGTTTGCATAAATATTTTTGTGAATAAAATAGTGAGTTAGCCGTTTCTACAAATGGCTCAAATCGAGCCGTTTAGCAACACCGAGTTAAAATTTTAAACATATAAATAGTTGCTCATTTTTTTAATTATAATAGCAATTTCTATAAAAATAAAAAAATAATGCCAATATGAAAAACTATCTGAAAAAAAGGGTAAAATTGAGTATTTTAGAAGAATTCAATATATTACATTTACATAAACAATATCCACCCGCTAATTTTTCAAATCTTTTAGATACATAAAAATAATAAAAATATTTGAAAGATTTGGGCTTAAATATTTTACAATTAATGATTTATCAAATATTTGTTAAGAAATGTTACAATGACTAATGATTCAAGTGCCATATTTCGTAAACCTATACTTGGTCTAACTTGATCTTTATTAATTAATCTAATACCCATTTATAAAAATAATTGAAAAAAATGTTGATTTGATTTTATGATCATTTATTTTTAATTTAAACTATATAAACAATATCGAACATTATTTCACTTTAAAGACTACCATTAAATTATATCGAAAAATTTAAATGATGCTTCTATCTTAATCCAAAGATATATAAAATTAAAGGGAATGCATTTTGCCCAAAATACCACCTATTTTCGACCTCTAGAGGCCCTATCTCATCTGCTATTTGGAATTTGTGGCTAAAATTGTATCTTTTTTTTAAGAAAACATATCCAACCTCTGTAAAAATTTTACAAAATCTGAGGGGGTTGGGTTGAAATTAGGGCTGTGTCGATATTAAATATCGGATCGGCGTCAATATTTAGCGTTTCCCGATAATGTCGGATAGGGCCGATACCTGTGAAAAACCCGATTCGATCTTTTTACTTTTTTTTTATTATTATTTTAAGTTATGTATATTTATATTACATTATTATAATATTTTCTGAATAATTTTTTTTAAACAATGCAATGCAAATGCACAAAACCCTCTAAATAGATTTATAATATTTTTAAAGTTTTTTTTTATAAAAATAGAAAGGAACACCCAAAGTTTTATTTATTTTAAATCTTTTTAAATAATAAAGCCAATTTTATTATTTATACTTTAAATAAAGGAATTTTTTTAAATATGGTATCTGATGAATTATGGAAATATTCTACAAAAGACAAAGATAATTTTGCAAAATACATTATCTACGGAATCATCTGAGTCTGCCTTCAGTACGGCAGGAGATATAGATAGTCCATATTGTAGAAGCTTATTGGCAAAAAATCTAGAGCTCATATTTATTTTTAAAAATCTAATATATTATAATTTTATATATTAAATATTACAAATTTATAATTCATACCAACATAAAATGGATATATTATAACATATATATATTTACATATTTTTTAATTAGTCTTAATTGTAAAAATAAAAAAATTAAATTAAATGCATAATTCGATTTTTTCATAAAAAATATTAATTTCTTAATTACATTTGGTTCAATGAAATCAGTAAAAATCAGGGATGTGAACCCGAACCCTAGTATTCTGGCTGAACCCGAATCAGGACCCATTTTAAAAATGGAGGGTCCAAGGGTTCTAGGTGTCATAAAAAATTTTAAAAATAAAAATATTTTTTTAAAAAATAATATAAATTTTTAAAATTTTATTAACTTTTTTTGTAGAATCATTTATTTTATCTTAGCGTTTTTCTTACAATTTTCTTCCTGAACTTCCATTTTATTTAGAGATTGATATCATAAATTATTTTCCAGTGTAATAATATTTTATTATGTAAATTTATTAATATGCTATGTTATAGAAATACGTTAATTATTTTGAAAGTGAATTATTTTATAATACAAGTAATAATATTTTAATTTAAATGATAATGCACAACACGTTGGTCCTCTTTGTATGATGCTTGAACGATTATTAAGCTTGAAAGATCTCTGTAATGATTTTATTATAGGAGCATGTGAAGTGATTTTGTCGGAAGATAATTGGTGCCAAATAAAGGACCTTACTAGTGTATTAGTTCCTTTAAAATAACAATATTAAGATCACAATCAGAACAATTATGTTTATTTGATTTTAAGGCATATGGATTAGATGCCGATTAGATTTAGAAAATTTTACAGTCCTTTTTATATGAAATATTAGATAACATGAAAATTCGAGAGCAACAATATTTGCAAAATAGTGTTGTATACGCTTCTATATATTTAGGCCCTCGATATCAAGTTTTATTGAGTATTGGCTAAAGACCATCTTAAGGATTTATGGCATAAGCAAAACTCCATTATTTACAATATATTGGACTTGGAGGCTACGACAATACCTATTGTAATGATAATAAAAATAATGATAGCAACATTGATGATCTTAAAATTTTACTTTTAGATAGAGAAGAAAAAAATCAAATTATCATCAGATAGAAAGGAGGATCAAAATATGCTTATTGCATCTTTAATAGTAAAGTTCTCAGAAGTTAAGAGAATAAATAAGGATATATATATTTTAAAATTCTGGGGAGAAAATTCTGGGATATATCCTGAATTATATATCTTATCTAGAATCTTCATGGCTGTACTGGCGACACAAGTACAATAATTTTATAAAGATAACTATCTATTTTAGGTAAGGGTAGAACATGAATTTTATCTTTGAAATTATATTGTCTACTTTATGTGGATTATTTCATTTTTAAATATTTCATATGTATTAAGAATATGTATATATTGAAGTATATTAATAAATGAATGAAAAAAAAATCATATTTTGAGTCATTATTTATATGTTCCCTGAATCCGGGTCTTTTCAAATTTTATTCCTGTATCCGAACCCGGGCCTGGGCCCTTATTTTTTGTCGAAGGGTTCACATTCCTGGTATAAATATCGAATCGGTTTGAAGCAATATCGCAAAATATCGGAACGTATCGGTGAATAATATGTGGATCGGCACAGCCCTAGTTGAAATGAAACTCATGATTTGTCATTAAAATCATCATATATATTTGAAAGAATCTGCCAGATATGTAGGAGGAAGATAAAAGTGTGATACATGTCTAATTATAATTTTTGAAGAATTATCAGAAATGAAATATTTATATCTATTATTTTCATTAAAATATAGGTCAGATTTATCACACAAACCATGCATATTAAAATATAGGTCAGATTTATCACACAAACCATGCATATTAATAACCCCTTCCTTCATAGTTTTGGGAAAAAATTAACTTGCCTAACTATTGGTTTAAAAATGGTGATCTATCAACCTCCCCATTGTTATTGATTGGTTTGTTGGATCGTTTATTGATTATGATTATTCTGATTTAAAATTTTTAAAATAATAAAATATGCAATATTTAAATTTATTTTAAAATCATTTTTAATAAATATTAGCTCACCTAGGCCCTCATCCATAAAATTATTTGCAAACCCCCACTATGGCACCCTACGATTCAGCCCAATGATGGAGCCTAAAAAATGAAACAGGGCTTCTCAAAACTGATTTTTAAATTTTGATTTTTTTTTAATTTCAAGCTAATGTTTGGATTTTGACAGGCTTGTTAATCGATCCTTTTAAAAAGATAGAATCCCGATCACGATCTTTTCAAAAAAAAGAGAATCGAAATCCAGGATCGACCTTTTTTTTAAAAAAAAGGAACGCGATCATGATCACGAACCTGTATTAATTTCTGATGGAAATTTCTGATTGATGCGAAATTAACTAATATAAAAATAAATTAAATATGGTATAAATTTATTGTAATTGAATAATATAATATAAGTATAACAATTAAAATATATTTATTTATAATTAAAATTAGTTTTTAATAATAAAATTTTTTCGAAGTTATTATCATTTAAAATCCATGTCTTTCATTAAGCACATGTTTAGAGCTTTACTAAACAAGCGCCCAAGGTGTGTTAGATTCAATAAATATTTTTTTTAAACATAGGTATTAAAAATATTCATTGAATCATCATTTGAATAAAAAAATTATTAATAGAACGAGCATTTTGTGAAGAATTTTTTTCCAAAAAAGTATCTATTTCATCCACACATTTTGAAGCATCTGCATGTGGTTGATCCTTCATATTTTCCAAATGCGCAATTAACCTTTCTTTTACCAATAGATTTTGTGGCAGATTAATATAAGGCCAGTTTAGCTTAAATTTTGAGTGAATAATTGCTGCTAATATGTTACTATCATCATAAAGTGAAGGAAATCTATATTAAGAAATGATAATTAATTTATTATTAAATAAGTGTTCATTAGGGGTTTACCGATACCACTTTTTGGAGGCCGATCCGATCCGATATTTCAGATATTAAATTGATATCGGCTGATAATCGTCCGATATCATATCTAATTTTGTATTCTGCAAAGTTACCGGTTTTAATTTTTAATATACTTTTTATTAGTACAACATCTATAATTTTACTATACCATAACATATGTCATTTAAATATATTATAATGGTCAGTTATAGTTTATATTCAATTCAATTGCTATTATTTATATAATAAGTAATAACATTAATCTATTTACATAATTAGTAATAAAAAAATATATTATGAAATTTGAAATTAATATTTAAAATTAATATATCGAAGATTTCTTATTATATTAGAGATATGTCGGCGGTGATGGGGACTGTTAATATCACTAGCATCACTAAAAACAGATACTGAAGAGATTAATGAACACTTTTTTAAACAGAATGCGAAAAAAAATAACTATATTGCAGAATGTTTATTAACTAATTATTTCTATTAAAAAAATTAAACATAAAAATGTATTTCGATTTTATTTATAAAAATAAATGGTTTTTTAGATATAACTTTTTTTAAATTTTGTTAAAAGCGCCATTTTATAATCGGAAAATTTTATAATATTTGCCGATATCAGATATTTTAAAATGAGCGAAATATCGGCCCGATCCGATCCGATATAAAATATCGGTACATCCCTAGTGTTCATTCAAATAAATCTATGCAAAACTTAGCACTCTCAAATTTAACAGTCAGGCCTGGCCAATCATCTCTATCGTATTTATGATCATATCATAAATATTGATTAAAATTAATATTATATAATATTGATTAAAATTAATTTTATATTTAGTTGAGGTTTGAACTACTAATCCTTGAAGAAGATATTTTGTTCTTACATAAATAGCATTTTGCACTGATCTTGTATAGTTACTTCCATCCATTTCACATAAAGTAAAATACTTATGTAAATTATGAAATGGTAAAAGATTCTCATTCTCTTTAAGAAATTGTTGATATATAAAATATAGTGGAATGGAAGTTGATAAAATATGATGTAGATAGATATTTTTTTTAAAAAATAATATTTTAATTTAATTTTCACAATTTTTATTATATTTATTGTTTTTAAGTAAAAAATTAATTTTTAAAATGATTGGGATCGAATGTTAAAAAAAATGATCTCAATCACGATCCTCAATTTAAGTCAGGATCATAAATGTGCAAAAATTGACAAATTTAGGATCAAATCCAGGATAGGCAATCTTTTGATTCGATCCCTTAACAACTTTGAATTTTGATTAATAATATTTTAAAAAAAATTACAATGTGCTTATTTCTTTATATTTTAAGAGCTTAACAAAAATACTAAATCTAAAACAATATAGTATATTCACTATAAATTAAACAAATTATCTATAATATGATCCAAAAACATTGCAGATATCAAACAAAATTGATTATAAAGAGGTTGTTGTAAAAATATAGTCCTAAAGAGGAGATATAAGTGCCTTAAATGACATTCAAGTAAAGGGATATTATAGATATTAAAAATTCTGTAAAAATAAATTAGTCTAAGGCATATTTTTATAAAATAGAGGTACAATTAACTTTTCATAAAATTTTAAAAGACTGGGCCTGGCAAATATTTTAAGAAAAATTTAATGGGCCATGTTGGACTGTACAAAAAATTAGGAGTAATCTGGGCAATTTGTGTAAAAGTTCTTAATAGGCCAAAATGAGCCAGGCCAAGTTTCACAAATCTCCAATATAGGCTAAATATATAAATTTCCAAAAATAGAAAATTTAGTAAATAATTCTTTTATCCTCTCCCTCGGCATACTTAAGTTTAAAAATTATCATAAATCATCTTCATCTCTTAAAATATTCAAAATTCTGGACAAGTATCAAAAAATATTATTATTAATTATATAGAAGAAAATATATTATATTCATCATTAATTTTAAAAAAACCTGATATTTCTAATGCTCTTTCCATGGATCTATCAATCACATGATTATGGAAAAAATCAATGAACATATTATATAGATATTGCATATCATCTGTAATGGCTGTAAATCTATGTACATATTTCCCCAAAATATTGATTGCATAAATATAGGGTATAACCAAAAGAGAGTCATCTTGATCATACAAGTTAATATTGCATTTATTAATATCTCTATTATTGATATCCAATAAACATTTATCTGAGTTTAAAATTTTAGTATTAATTTCCATTTTACTACACTTTTCTTTAATATCAATATTAATTTTATCACTTATCTTGTCTTGGGAATTAATTATCATGGAATTTTTATTATCTAATATTTTTTTACAATTGACAACAGTGCGACCAGCTTGAAGAGCTAATGTACCTAGTTATATATTATAAAAATAATAAAATAAACATCAATAATTAACAATAGTTTTGATATAAGTTCTATATTAAATTAATTTTTAATTAACAAGAATTAAATAGACATATATATTAGTGATCTGCATCGAATATAATTTTTCAAGCCCAGCCCGATCCAAAATTTTTTAAATATAAAAATTAATTTTTATAATTATTCAAAATAAAAGACATGTTATATCATTTAGTTTCAATAAATAAAATAAAATATTTTTATTTTACATAAAAAATTCAATATAAAATTGAGAAATTAGGATATATTTAAAATAAATTCCAAAGTCCGACCCGACGGAGCCTGAATTTTTAAAAAAATATTAGGCCAGGCCTGGCCCAAACCTGATTATTTTAAATAGAATTAGGCCCAAGCCTGCTGGGCCTAATTTTGCAGATCCCTAATATATATAATAATTTACTTTTATCATTTGCATATATAAAATTTCTCTTAATTTCATTACAATTTTTCAAATACCATAAACAATCTTTATTATTTTCATAAGGAATTTTCCTTCTAACAACATTATTACTATTCTCCATCATATATTTTCTATTTTCTTCATTATCCAAAAAATCTAATATATTGTTAGCTTTAAAATTTATGGGATTTTTAATATTGTTATAGGAATAATGGACATCGGTATAGCATTCTTGAGGTAGATCTATTTTAATTGTATGAGATATGTTTGGAATGTTTTTTTGGGAAGATAAATCACAATCGGTATTTACATTAGCCATAAAGACTAATATAAGATCTATACATAATTGTCATATTTTTTATCAAGGGCAAATCATATTTGAATGCACAATTATTATTTTAGTTTTAATATCTGGTTATATTTCTATTGTATAGTTTAACTAAATATTCTAAAATTCTATAGATCTGCGAAAATCAAATGATTATTAACCTGTCGTGTAACTATCACTAATATTGACATCACATATAGGGTTGAAAGTGTTTTATTTGATTTTACCTTCAAAACAAAGACCGCTAAGTGGTATACAAAATAGGTTTGAACTTTAAAGTGCTTAAAAATAAAATACGAATACCTCATTTATGTAATAGAAGATTATAGTTTAAATGAATATTTTTTTAAAAAATTGTTATAAACCTATTTTAATTTCATATAAAAATCCAAAGAAATTTTTGAAAAATAAAAGTAAGAATTTTTAAAAAAATTTTCGTTAGCGATTCTATTCTTTTTTCTATATGTAGTCACCAACCGGAAAACGAAATATATAAAATATTTCTTTGAAGAGACACATTAGTTTACAAATCCCAAAATAATTAATAAAATATTAATTTATTAGAATTAAGAAAATATAAATTTTAAATTTTTTTTTTCTAATAATACTTTAATGCTTTATTTTGTATATGTTAATAATTAAAATTACAACAACTACAATGCGTATTTTAATTTAATAGTAGGAATAATAATTTATAATTACAACAACTACAATGCGTATTTTAATTTAATAGTAGGAAAAATAATTTACATAATAATTTAATTTTGTGAGAAAATTTTAAAAGTGTATTTTGTTTTAGTGTCGAGTTTGGGTATTTCGAAATCGATATATTTATTTATATAAATATAGAAACGATAACAATAGATTAAAATATTAATAGATATAAATTTATATTAAATTTAATTGATTGGTTTTCCTAAATAACCGCGTTTCAAAAAATCTGGTATATATTTATAAAAGTTTGTAAAATCGTATGGCATATACCAATTTAATATCGAAGTAACATTATTTACGAAATGAACTCTAAGGCCTGGCCTTAGATTCATACTCCTATATTTGTTTTTAATGGCCCCGAAAAAGTTTTTAATAGGATTTAGTTGAGGACGAAAATCATTGACTGTCTATGTGAAATGGTGCACAAAATCTAAAACTTCAGACAAGTTTATTTTTATATATCTAAAAAATTCAAAATAAAAAGTTAAAATATAAATTTCGATCTTTATATATGTTATAAAATTTGAATATGAAAAATATAATAAAATATCTTTTTCGCGAAATTAAGTAAGAAATAAAACATCTTTTTGGTGAAATTAAGGAAGTAATGAAATGTTATATTAGCGAGGTTGAATTAAGTAGGGAATAAAATGATATCGTCGCTATATAAGTACTAAAATAGTTTAACAAAAAATAATAATATAGAAATACTATTTCATAACATTCTCTCTCTTCTACGAAGCTTTCCCCATAATTTCATGTAAGCTGTCATTGAGAGCTCGTTGTCCAAGTGGTTTATCGTTTTGGCTGTTCACGTTGTTACATCAGTCATATTCGTTATCGTTGGCTTGTCTACTTTGTTTATGATGTACCTTGGTTTGTCGAAATCGTTTTTGAGTTTATAAGTAAATTTGTCCAAATCTTTTTTGATTGTACGTTGGTTTGTCAAATCGTTAGCTTGTTTTCCTTGTCATAAGTTGTTTTCATCAATCTGAATTTCGCCTAGTTTGCTAGCTTGTCGAATTCCCTTGCTATTATTACCAATTTTCAATTGTTATCATCATCAATCAGTTATGAATAATTAGGAATCAAATTGATCGAATTGGATATTAGAATAAATAAATTATCGGATTTATGGAATAGAATCATATTGAATAAATTAAATAATCGAATGCTAGAATGATAAATCAATAATATTATTTATTTTTAATGTTTAATTTATTTTCGCGCTTTAGTGTTAAAATAGTAAATCTTGATCCTGTATCAATTTGCATAGTGGTGGTAATATTAATTAATTTCAGAGTAGCCATATAAGCACTCTCATTATCATTGTAATCATTTAGTGTTGACAATAAAATCATTATCATTGTCATTAGCGGTATCGACTTTGTCTTCAACAATTTCTTCAATGTTCTTATTGCAATTATTGTTGTTATATCGATTTTGGTCATCGTATTGGATCTGTTTTCTCTAATTATTATCATGCTAAATAATGTTTTACCATAGTTATTCGAATTATTATCATGGTGCCTATAATTGTTAATCTGGTAGGACGATAATTATTATTATAATAGCCTCTAAAATTGGTGTTATGACCTCTAAAATTATTGTTATAATCTCTAGAATTACTGTTAAAACCTCTAAAGTTATTGTTATAGCTTCTAAAGTTATTGTTATAATTTCTATTCCTATCATTATAATTATTGTCATGTCTGTCATCGTAATTTGGTCTAAAATTGTTTCTAAAATTATCAATATAGTCAAATTAATTATATATATTGTAATTATTATTCTCATTCCAACAATTATATCTAGGGAAAAGATAATCAAAGGTTTTTTGATGTAAAAATCTAAACGTGTTGTTACTAGTAGAATCAATTCTTATGTTTATTATCAACAGTATTTCTAGTATCAATACCTATATTTTTATTAATCTTTTTATCATTGTTCACATAATTTATAATATCATTATCTGGTTTAATATTAATGCCTTCAAATTTTTTTCCTAATAGTAACATTTTATCTAAAGTTAAATTATCATCCTTATATTTATTTAATCTATGTTTAATATTATCATTTAAATTAAATATCCTAATTTTCTCTTTTATACGGTCATTATTACTGAAGCCAAGTGGCATCAAGGGCGAGATGATATTGTTTCATTTGAAAGAATCACCTGTTGTACAAGAGGTTAATCACATGGGCAGAGTCAAAAATAGCTAAGTAACCGCAAAACCCTTTCAGGACTCTCATGCACATGGTGAATCTCTCATCAAGCAATCCCAGTTTATCAATGACAATCGCCCCGGACAACATTTCGAAGAACGTTACGATTTACGCTGCGACTATTGGGGTGACAAACGATTTGATGAACGTTACAAGATACGCTACGATAACGGCCGCGACAAGCAATTCGATGGACGGCACAGCAACTTCCACGACAATCGTTTTGATCAAAGCTACGATAATTGTCACTATAACCGCAACCGTTTCGATAATCGCAATGATAACTACTACGACGATCGATACAACAATAGCGGTACAACGTCTATGGCAATCGCTACGACTATCATTGTGATCTGATCGACGGGATGACTGCTATAGAGGTGATAACCGAACCAACTATTCCCGTCGTGGTCAGCACAGACTCAATCCTCAAAATATTAATGGTTTTCCAAAATATTAGTCGAGGCCCAACCAGTACAAAAATGACAATAATACTTACAATAGATCTTCTGATTACAAAGATCTATGACAACGACTCAAACACAGACCTTAAAGAATATAATCTGCAGAATTTGGAAATGTACAATATGGGGGTCAAGGATACCACATATGACGCGTACAACGTGACAGTAAGCATCAACAACATACCCACGTTGATGCAAGTTGACACCGGTACCAGGTACAGTATACTTCCGAAGTTGACAGATAAGACTGTAGGCATAACCGCGATACGTAATACGGATATGAGACTCACTGGTTATGACGGCAGCGCTATCAAGATATTAGGTCTTGCCAATGTGAATGTTAAGTAGGAAGGAAACTCACATACACTGGAGGCCATTGTAGTGGATTGTGATAAGATCCCCCTGCTAGGACGTGTGTGGCTCCACACTTTCAACAACATTTTAAAAACGTTCTTAGTGGGTAATGTAGAGAATGATCTCGAGAAGATAATCTCGACAACAAAAAATGACCTCGATTCAACTTACTCCTACAAACCCAAAATGGTCAGAGAAGAGAAAGTTCACTTGAAGCCCGATGCTGTGCCTAAAATCATACCTTCAAGGAGAATTCCGTTTGCCAAGATCTATGCAACGACTCAGAAATTGGATTGCTGGCTGAAGTACGACAAAATAAACCTTGCTCGAAAGGAATCTAGATGTCCGATGCCATGCACAAGCGATACCGGTTCAAAGGCATTTTAGCGGTTCGGTTCAGGTTCGGCTAGAAATTTTTTAGCGGTTTAGATTAGGTTCGATAAAAATTACCGGCTTAATGGTTCGGTTTGAATCCCTGAAATAAAATGTATTTAGAGTCCTTACTTTCTATTCTGAAAGCTGCGTATTATAATTACCTAAATTTTATTTTATTCAATTGGTTTAAATCTCTTAATTAATTTATCAGCTCTCCATGAGTTAATTTACCTAGCTTGTAAAGCCTTTGATAAAAATGAAATCTTTCGCCTTTGTTAATTTTAAATTTACGGGCTCGCATGTGTCACAAATTCTTTTAACAACCAATCTCATAGGTCTCATGGCAAATGACTATAGAGCTCGTGCGAGACTCGCTTCAGCTCAATGCTGACCATAATCGTTTCCAACCCTTAGATCTCTACTCACATACATTCGAGTGAAATATTTAGAATATACTGAATTTGTAATAAACGCGTTATGCTCAAGCGTTACGTTATTTAAAGCTATCGAAATATAAGCTATTCTTCTAGCAATATTTAATAACATATATCTTGGCGTAGCCAGGAGGGGGGGGGGAGATAAAATCCCCCCACCTTCAGAAATTTATCACTTTTTTGAATATCATTTTAAGCTAATAAAAAATATTCCCCTTAGACCTCCTTCCACTCCCTGACCCCCAAAATGTATGCATATATCTTAAACAATAATTTGAAAGAATGAATGTAAAATTTAATATTTTTTTATAAAACTATTCATCATAATTTATACATTTTTGGAAAAAAGCATTTATATATAAAAAAGGTGATTATAATTATTAATAATAGATTTATAAAATTACTAAATAATATAATATATCAAATATAATTTTTTTATAAAGTGAGTTGTTTTAATTTATTTATATTAATAAAAGAAAAATATAATTATAAAACTTTGATAAAATTAAATCATAAAAATAAAAAAATTAAAGCATAATACAACAAACAATGGAATATTATATGTCGTAGATTTACAGTATATCTAATTTTATCAATTTTCATATGACAATCAAGTAATTTTTACCACTTTAGCTAATTATATATTTTACTATAAAATATTGATAAGGACATCAGAAAATATCTTTTAAAGACATTGTGGGATGAAAATATAAAGATTTATTTTTAAGTATTTAAAATAGATGGCGATAAATAATTGAATGCAAATTGTTGCTATATTTATTATCAAGAGCATTGATTAGTAAAATTTGTTAAATTATTAACAGTAATATATTCTCTAACTGTCAAATATGTCTATAAAAGTGGAATTTTACCTAGTATTTTGTAACTAATTCTATATAATAGAGGAATATCAACTATATGTATACTTTTTATAAATAAATTTCTTATACTTGTTTGGAATAAATTATTACCATTTATATTAATGTATATACAAGTAATTTAATATATTTTATATAATAAAAATATATTTCATATTTATTCCAAGCTATTTTTTTAATTAAAATTAACCTCCTATCTTGTAAAAAAAATTAATGACTATATATAGACTAAGGTAACCCAGGGCGAAGCCCCCAGTTATTTTTTAATTCCATTTCCCCTTGTGAAAATCCTGGCTACGCCTATGTATCTTCTTCTTTAAAGCAAATTTTAAATTATTCACTATAACTATTGTAATTTTATCATACTTGTTTAAATAACATATTAATAGTTAATATATTTTTGATATAACATGAAAAAAAAAATATATTGACCTGTTAAAGAATAATGTAAAGGAAATTTCCCTCTGTTTCCCCAATTTTTCCGGGAAATTTTCCTCAATTATCCTTGGAAATTTACATCCCTAATTATAGATATGTTATGAAGGAAAATAAATTTCTAGAAAATAAGAATTCGGTATTAGCAGGCAATTTATAATTATTAATTAATGAAAATACAATATTGCTAAACATATAATGTTATATAGGTTAAACGCGTCGAATATTTAGTACATATCATAAATTCTTTTTATAATTCTGACAAATCAATAATTTTATAGAAAAAGCCAATTTTATAATCAATTGGGATTATGAATATAAATTAAATCAAATTTCAAAAATGGTTTTTTTAAACTATTATTTTTTTTATTAGACAGATTGTTTACATTTAATTTTTATATATATTAATTAATAGATATTTAACTTTCATATAATGTCCATTTGTTATAATTTCGTTATATCGACAATTTATATCAAGGTAAGTTATAATAATAGTAAAAAAATATAATAGTAAATCACAATTATATAAAGTCATTAATTCTTACTATTTTTTTTGATTCCCTTTTAGTGTTAACATTATAATAGGCAACAAAATGGCGAAAGTCTATACTATGCATAGGATGTTCAATTACGGGGTTTCGGATATTGAAAAAATAAAGCTGAGATGTATTTTACTATATTTATGGCTAATCGTTGGCGTAGGTAGAATCCCTCATTGGGATCCTCGGTCCTAGCAGAGATCTGTTTTCCTAGCTCTTTAAAGAAGTCTAGGGCATGAGAGCCGAACGACGTTAAAGTAGTGGCGATTAATGTTAGGAATGTATAATTGGCGGGAAGAGATGGCGAATATTTAGCTAGTTTATTCACCTCGGCATCTAGTATGGCATCTCTATTTATATTGGAAGGGCAAGAGGATCGATGTATGAGAAATCCCAAGTTAGGAATTCCCCCCTCTTCCAAGGGATCATAGTCGAACCATCGGGCCGCTTACCATCGGAATTGTAAAGGCCAGTAGGTTCGAGGGTTGATGGGATGCCGGCGGATTATTTTAAGGCCCTTGCAATGGTATCATTGCATTTTGAATGCCTAATGAATCTGCCTTTACAGCGCTTGCAGTGTAGAGAGTGACAGCCTATGGAGTTGACCGAAGTTTGACAGAGGATACAGTTATAAGGTATTACCATATCGCAATTCAGTCTAAGACCGATGGCGTGATGTAGCTCATCATTGCTTAGGAGCTGGTCAAGGTTTTGGGATGGAAAGGCATCAAGAAATTCGTATCCACTACCTTCGGAAATGGAGAAGAGTAGAGAATGGTCCTCTGGTTGGCTCTTCGATTTAAGGAATGCAACGTAGAGGTTTATCCCAATCCTTCTGTAATGCCGACGATGGAGGATCGACTAATGAGAGGGACTTCCATAGATCAATTGCCTGTAGGAGTAAGGGGTAAGGATGTTTTGTTAGTGTTTGAATGATGGGCTCGCAGGACAAGAGAGAGGAAATGAACGCACTAACAGAAAGTAGGGAAAAAGATTTTTGATATGAAATGAACATTTGGTTATTATATTCCATCTTTTATTAGAAAAATATGTCTATAAATTAAATATGGCCCATTTTTTCTGTGCATGAAAGAGTTAAATTAATTTTTAAACATTTGGAGGGTGATCAGGTTAAATAAATAGGAGGGTGGATTTAAATAAAAAACCATGGGTGGGTGAGCAAGCGGATTAATAAAAAAAATGGATGGATAGGTATTCGGTTTTAAATCCACCCATTGCAGACCTCTATTCCCAATTTTCGATTTTTTGAATATTAAAATTATTCATTTTAAAATGTTTGATATATAATGATGTTCATACTATTATATTAAAGCAAATGAAAACTTATGTGTTTAGTACAACTTGATAAATAAAAGGTAATAATTTATTATCTTGTCTAAATCCAATATAACAATGAAAGAATGTAATGCTGAATACCAAATGACAGATTTCATTTTAAGTTTAGCTGGTTTTAAAAAGATTTAGAGAAAAGCTAAAATTTATAAGGTAACAAATTTTTTACTTTATTGATATATGATCTTTCTTTCAAATATCTTAGCCAATTATTAAAATTTTATTTCAAAATCAATCAAATATTTATAAGGTAACAAATTAATTGTTAGATTATTCATTTATGATCTTTCTTTCAATTATCTTAGCCAATTATAAAAATTATATTTCTAAATCAATCAAATATTTATAATTAATTATGCAACCTTGATATATCATATATTGTAATTGTTGAAATATATATTATATATATATATGATAGTCATGTGTTATTTTGTTTATGAGATTCTAAAATCAATTAATTATTTATATGTAAATGTATTTTTTATAAATAATGAAAAATATTACAATGAAAATTTTTAAATATAATATGAGATTCAAGAAAATTATTTAAGTGCTTTACTACTCCTAATACATTATTGAATCTTCATTGTTGATTTTCACATTTTAAAATAAAATAAAAGTTTAAAAAGAGGGCCCTCTAATAAGCAATAAATAATAACTAAAAGTGGAATATTTTTTATATTTGGAAGATTAAGAGGAATGTGTAGTTTGAATATGCAATGATTTAAACATACATATGATAAAGGTCACTTGATTATTGTATTGTTACACCACCTTTTGAAATTGATTGAGCAAAATTGACAAATAATAAATATCATATTAAACAATCACATATTTAAATAAAATTTAACAAATGCAATATTTTTTTTTAAAAAAAAATTAATTTGAAAAATTAGTTATAAGCCTTTAATGAAAAATAAAAAATGTAGCCAAAACATTTTTTTAAATTTTTTTCATAACTTTAATGCTAGTCTTTTTTTAAATTTTATAACTTTTGAAATAAGTTATGGGACAAGCTTAATAAGAACATTTTAAATTAATTTCTGTGTTTTAAAAAAAAAATACATAATCCTAACTTAATTTTACCAAAAAGAAATGTACAATATGATATAATTCAGTAATGCTTATAAGTATATTATAATATATGACTATGATTGAGTGAGATTCACAAAAATAACATTATATAATTATTTTTGGAAAATGGTTTAAAATATAGGAAAATTTAATAATTTAAAACATTGTCATGTATCATACTGTATAAATAAACTCTATCATTTCTTTTAGCATTAGGTTTTTTATACTGCCTATGAGCATAATAAGCCATTACCAAAAATGAAAATAATAGTACAGAGGGAAATATTGAGCCCAAAATTATGTATACTATTTGAATTTTGCGATTCAAATTACCTGTTGATGGAACATGTTCCACATGTAGGACACACGTGCTTATCAATAATTTTTCCTGATATCCATCCATGTCAAAATCTTGCTGCCTGAAGCATAAATATTTACCAGAATCCTCTAATTTTGCTTTTTTTATTGTCATTTTAGTTCCTTCTTCCAAGAATACTAATCTTGATTTAATACTTTTATCCAAAAATTTCCATTTAACTTTGATTCCATTATTTAATAAATTCAGATTTGTCAAATTATTGATATTTCCATTATAATAAAATGTACTATTATTGGATACATTTCTGGTTTCAAAATTATTTATTAAATTTGTAATATTCTTTTTATCAAAGTTTGGAATAATATCTTGAAATATTTTTACCAGTGATCCTAATTTTTTAAAAATGGAATGTGTTTTTTTTCCTAAATGGCATTCACAGGTAGCATTATCGCCAAAAAAAGCATATACATTGATTCTAGGACTTGATAATAAATAGTTATCAAAACATTCATCCTCATAAAATTTCAATAATGTTTCATTCAATAGATTACTTCTGTATAAGGAATGCAAATTAAATAGTTTATCACAATCTAAAGATATTATTTGATTTAGCTTTTTATTGTGCAAAATTTCATCATCTTGATGCAAATTGGCAGGTTGGGGTAAAGAATTGAGAATATTTTTTGCAAATCCTTGTTCATAAATTAAACAATATAAGAGAAAATTCAATTTAAATTTTATCATTGTAATTTCTTTTTTGTTGTCCTATAAGTTTATGAAAATGTTTCATCTTAACAATCGCAAAAAATTTATCTAGTTTTAGCTAAAATCATATGAATGACAACAGTCATGTGTCACGTGTTTTTATATATAGATAAGCATAGAGTAATCTAGTGTTGTTAATCGACTGTCGAGTCGACTTAGTCGAAAACTGACTCTAAGTTTTGGGTCGTAAAAATCGACCCAAACTGACTTGAGTTATGAATTCGAGTCGTGAACTCAAGTCGCCTCAAGTCATGAACTCAAGTCGGGAACTCAAGTCGTGAACTCAAGTCTATATACTTGAGTCGACTAGAGGACGAATATTTTTATAAACTTGAGTCGTCGACTAGAAGACGAATATTTCAAATTAATTATTAATAATTAAGATTTGTTCTGTTTTTTACATTTTTTTATTTTAGACTTCCAACTTGAGATTTAAATAGGAATTATATACTTTAGTCAACTAGAGGACGAATAGTTCTATGAACTTGATTCGACTAGAGGACGAATATTTCAAATTAGTTATTATTAATTAAGATATTTGTTGTTTATTACTTTTTTTATTTTAGACTTCCAACTTGAGTTGCAAATAGGAATTATATACTTGAGTCGACTAGAGGACAAATAGTTATACTTATATGAACGTGAGTCGACTAGAGGACGAATATTTCAAATTTTATTAATTAAGATATTTGTGATCTATTTTTTACATTTATTTACTGTAGACTTTAAACTAGAGATCATGAATACGAAATATATAATTGAGTCGACTAGAGGACGAATATTTCATATTTATTATTATTAATTAATTCATTTATTTGCTCTGTTTTTACACAGGATAATTATAATGACCAATATTGTTTGTTAGCTGTTTTAATTTTCCACCTATTAAAATAAGCTTAAAATTTTAATGTAATGTGCAGATACACATGGTATGTGTACCTGGACCATCTGCTAAAACACACTTTTTAGGTCGAAGACCACCTGCTAAAACACAGTTTTTAGGTCGTAAGAAAGCAAATCTACTCTTAGGAGACAGATCAATACAAATATTTTTAAAAATTTCTAAAGCACAATTTATGTATAATAATTTTCGAGGGAGGTCAAATAACTACCTCTTCCTGCAGGTGCTCATCAGGGGCGTCGCTAGCCTTTACAATATCAGGAGGCTCAACTAAAAAAATTTTATGAGGGGCCGCCACCCCATGCCCCCTAATTAGCGGGCCTTCGGCCCGCTTTTGCCCGTTTTATATTAATATATTATACTTTAAAAAATTTGTTAACTCTAAACAATTATTCTGATTTTCATATTTTGCCATTTATTATATTATGCATACAAAATAAACTGGCATACAAATACTTAAAAAAATATAAGACATTTCTCAATAAAATTTTTTAATACAAAATCTATTTATTACATTATAAAATATTTTCGATTGCTGATATAAAAAAAATTGCGTCTAAAGAATTACAAGTTATAAAAAAGATTTATTAATTCATACATATGCCTCAATTGATAATAGTTTTTAAAAACCACATAATGCAATAATCAATGATATTATATCATTGGCAATAATATAATTCATAGCAACTTACATTGACAAAAGGTTATCAAACTAATATAACTCTCTGTTACAGGCGTGTACGCATACGCAGGAATTTGGTCTGGAAAGGGGGGGGGGGATAATAAAATTTTTTAAGAAATATTATTGTTATTTAAAAATATTAAGCATAAATTTATTAGGACTAATAACTATTTATAATGCACAATTTTAAATTAATGTGAATTATAAAAAAAATTATATATATAACTATAAAATAAATGTGAATTAAAAAATATTAAACGGATATAATTGGCGACATTGAAAAACTATAAAATTAATGTGAATTATAAAATATAAAGTGAATATAATCATCATATGAATCACTTAAATGATCCAAAATAGAAATTTGAATTTTTTGAGCCAAAATTTATATATAAAGTATAAAAAATTTAAATTTTGGAAATATAAATTAATACACAAAAAGTTTCTTAGGAATAATTGTATTTTGTATGTTATATATTTACAATGTAAAATCCAATCTTCGTTGGGATTGTGCTAATTTTTTAATTATCTCATCCTTGCGGCGTTAAATGTCTATGAATATTCAAATGATTTAACCAGTGGCGTAGCTACGGGGGGTGGTTTTCAGGTTTGAACCCCTCCCAGAGCTAAATCTTTTTTCTAGATTATACGTTCAAAAGACTTAAAAGTGACTTTATATTAAATAAATTCCATTAATATATATATTTTTCTAGTTTTGATGTTTGTGGAAGGATATTATATTACTATTGAAATTATTCTGGATAGTATTAATATAAAGTCATTGAGAATAATCTACTAAATTATAATAACATATTATTGGTGCATTTAAAAAATATATTTATTATATATTAAAGAAGATATGGTTAGGATTTGTAAGATTAACCCGGCCTTTGTATGGACCGCCTCTAAGAAAAATTCTTAGCTACGCCAAACCATTCAATCTACTTTCAGAAGTTGTACTTTTGATGGTTTGTTTTTCAGAGACTGGCAGACCCGACCCTCGGGCCGGGCCGTATTTTAATTTTTTTAAATATACTCGGGCCGAGCCCTATTTTTTAAAAAAACACACGGGCTGGGCCTGAAAATTCTTTTAAAAAAAATATCCAGGTCGGGCGGTATATTTTAAAACCAAATATTTGAAATCGCCATTATTAGCTATAAAAGTAAAAAAATAAATATAATTTCGGGAGAGGCCTTAAAATTTATTTTTAAAATTCTAATTTAGTGATATTGGCCTTTATGATTGACATGTTAAGATTTAATTGATTTTTTTTAGTGATATTGACATACATGATTTAATTGGGAGTTCGTTTAAATCAGATTTATGTAGAGTGTTCAAGATCAATTGTAAATATTGCTGGCCTACAAAGTAATTGTATATTATTATTGAATTATTTATATATATTTGATAGCATTATAACAACGATTAATTTATAAGATTATTATACCAATACTCAACTTTGCAAAGTAGTAAATAATATATCTTTCTAATATCTTAATTTAATTAATTTTAGATAAAGTATATTAAAACATAGCCAATTGCTGGCCTACAAAGTAATTGTATATTATTGAATTATTTATATATATTTGATAGCATTATAACAACGATTAACTTATAAACTGGCATAAAAACCTATTATTCTACCAATACTCAACTTTGCAAAGTAAATGATTGTAAATTTTTCTAATAATAAATTTTAGCAATTTTAATAGAATATTTATTTATTTTGAGTATACCTACTAATTTTTTATTTCAATTAAGCTATTTAAATCTTTGCTAACTTAAAAAAATATTGTGGACCTGATAATTTTTCATTCCAATTAAGTTTATTTAAATATTTGCTAACTTAAAAAATATTGCAAATTTTTTCTATATGTTAAATTTCAGTATTGCAAACAAAATGATTACCTAAATACACTGAAATATTCTTTATTTTATTGTAATTAAGTTTATTTAAATCTTTGCTTTAAAAAAATATTGCAAATTTACAATAAATTAAATTTTTGGATATGGTTAGTGTTGTTAATCGACTGAGTCGAAAACTGAGTCAAGTTTTGGGTCAAAAAAATCGACCCAAACTGACTTGAGTTATAAACTCAGGTCATGAACTCAAGACTCGAGTCATCAACTCAAGTCGACTCAAGTCATCAACTCGCCATCGAGAAATTAGTAATATTTTTATAAATTGATATTAATTTGTAAATTATTAGTTATGCCTCTTAATCCTAATGTACCAGCTGCAATTGACAAAGTGTGCCTGTTTATTGAGAAAGGTATAAATTTGTATTATTATTTAATTTGCATATTTTTTATATAATGAATTTACAGTTATGACTGTAATTTCCATGAAAGATGATGCAAATCTTTTTCCTCCCACCAGGGTTAAGATATTAAACGATGAAACGAAGATGGCATAGCTTGGTAGCCATCGAGAAAATAGTAATATTTTTATAAATTGATATAATTTGTTTTTTAAATTATTAGTTATGCCTTCTAATCCTAATATACCAGCTGTAATTGACAAAGTAGGACTGTTTATTGAGAAAGGTATTAATATGTTATGTATTATTATTTAATTATGCATATTTTTTAAATAATGAATTGGCAGTAGAGACTGTAATTTAAGAAAGATGATGTAAATCTTTTTCTTCCCACCAACAGAATTTGGAAAATTTATCATTCTGAACGCTTTCATTTTGCGATCAAGAAAAGATATCCAAAATATGATAATAGTGTAATGGGAGATAATTTTTCTACCGAGCGGATTATCGGTGATGGAAATTGTCTCTTCAGGTATATATATTTAAAATAAATTATTGTTAATCATTATTGTAGATGTATAAGCAAAGAAGTTTGTGATGACGAATGCCACTACGATTTTCTGAGACAGCAATGCATTCTCTTTATGAGAAGCAAGGATATTGTTGAGCAGATGGATTGGTTTTTGGGAAAACCTGTTGACAAATATTTGGAGAGAACAGGCATGGCTCAAAATGCAACTTATGGAACAGAGGTGGAGATAGTTGCATTGGCAACTATGCTTCAAGCAAACATAATTATTCACAGAGTTGGGCAGTACAGCGAATACTTGTATCTAAGATACAAGATACAAGATCCTTTTGTATCTTGTACTCAGTATCTTTTTGACATTTTTAATAAGATACTAGTGACTGTTACTAAGATCCTTTATTTTAAAAAGAATCTTGTATCTTTTTCATTTTCTTGACAAAAGATACAGATACAGATTCTTTTTAATATTCATGTTTAAAACATTTACATATCACAGAATATAACTTTATTTTCTTCGTGGAATCATGTATTATTTTCCTTATTTTTTTCCCGCTTATTTTAAATATATCGATAACCAAAATTAGCTGAAAATTTTACAGTTCACAAAGATAGAAAGATTAAAAATAACAACACCAAAACTAGATAAGTGAAGAATATATATTTTATATGTAATATTTTTTTAATTTGTAGAATGATTAACAATAACAATCATGAAGAAGTTAGTGAAGATGAAATTATGGAAATAGGTTCTCCTGAATCAAATCCGAATCTTAAAATTCTAGATGGAAAATTTTTTAAAGTTATTCTAGTGGAAAAAGACAAGGTTCAAGCTGAATGCCAAATTTGCCCAAGTAAAAATTTTTTAAAAGGCTCAACAAATTCCTCAACAAATTTTGTTAAGCACATTAAGGTAGGTATATTTTTTATTATATATAATTATTGACATAATAATACCCCCTTAAGTCCCTCTTAGATAATTGTTATTTAAAGGATTTTTATAGAAGATGTTGATTATCAAATTAAAATAATTTTGGATATATATTTGTTTTATATAATTATTTTAGCAAGTTCTCTTATTATAGGAAATATATAAGCAACAATTGATATATAAGATGAGATATTTTTCTTGCAAAATCATTACTTATAAATATAAAATATGTAAAATGGTGTACATTTATATTACTCATAACAATTTTTCTTTTATACATTTTAAATTGATTAAATTTTGTATATAAATACTCTAATATAATTGTACTTATATTATAAATAAATAAAAGTAACTAATAAAGTTAAATTCTACCATAAAGTTCTCTTATTATAGAAAATATTTAAGCAACAATTGATATATAACATTAGATAATTTTAAATGGCTCTTAATAAAATAATTATAATAAAGTAGTAATGATTTTGCAAGATATATTTTAAAAAAATCTGAAAGAGATTCAAATGATATTTATAAAATGATAAATTAACTAAATATGATATTACAAACACAGAATAATATATTAGAAAATAAAACTAATTTAAAAAATACATAAATATCATAATTCACAAACAAGTAATGATAAATACTTATTAAAGATAATGAATAAAATAAAACTAAACTAGTATATATATTTTTTTTATTAGAGATGTCATTTAGGCATATATACTGAATACAAGCTATATTTAAAACAGCACAGAAAAAAATCAGCAAATTATAATATCATAAAAATATGATTCAACCTAGTATATCAGAATCCTTTAATGCAATTAATAAAATAAAACCGACAATTACCCAAAATAAAATTGATAAATTGATATGTGCATTTATTGTCAAGGGTTTACACCCTTTGAGCCTAGTTGAACAGCCTGAATTTGTTACAATGATGGAAGGTTAGATAATTTATATATAGATAAATATTGATATGATACTCTAGATATTCTTAGTAACATTGGATCATTTAAAAATTTTTCGAGGAGGTATTTGCAGAGAAGAATAGAAGAAATTTTTGAAAATCATGTACATACTTTAAAAAGTACTTTAAAAGTTCAATCATATATATGCACCACGACAGATTTGTGGTCTACAAAAACCCGTAGCTTTATGGGAATAACAGCTCACTGGGTAATATTAATATCTTATTTAATTTTTTTTAATAAATTATTTTTAAAGATAACACGAGAAACCCTTGAAAGGAAATCAAGAGCCTTGGCATGTAGAAGAATGCCCGGCACCCATTCATTTGATAAAATTGCTGAATTATTGGAAGAAGTCTATAGAGAGTATGGAATTTCTGATAAACTAATTGCTACCGTCACAGATAATGCATCCAATTTTGTCAAGTCATTTAATGAATATGGTGTGAAATTAAATGTTCTTGACAATGATTTTGAGGATGAGAATGATCTATTAGAGTTTAATAAAATCAATGATGGTTAGTAAAATCTTTATCTTTAGATGATATAAACAAAATAATATTACCCAGGCACATCAGGTGTGCCTGCCACACTTTGTCCTTAATAGCAACTAAAGATATTATTTCATCAATATCGAGCTCAAAGAATCTTGAAGGATTCATTATGGAGTAATGGGGAAATGTACAAAATTATGGAATGCATGTGGAAGGCCCAAATCTTCTGAAAAGATAAGGGAGATAACAGGTGGTTATTACCTAAAGGTTCCATGCGTAACGAGGTGGAACAGTTCGTATGATAGTATCACTTCAATTACTAAAATATAGATCAAATTTAAAATTATTATTTGAATCAATTGATTGTCCTATTTTAAAAGAAATAGATATTGTATATATGGAAGAATATTGTAAAGTTTTAGGCCCAGTAGCAATTGCATTAGACAAACTACAAGGGCAGAGTAGTACATTTTATGGGGAATTAGTGCCCATATTATTTGTAATTAAAAGGGACTTGGGTAAACTTGAACATTCAAGTTTACAATATTGTCTCCCTTTATTAAAAGCTGTTCAAAATGCTATGGGGAAAAGATTTGGAAATTTTTTTTATTATGATAATAAATATAATGAGGCGTTTTTGGCATCATTATCACATCCATATTTTAAGAATCTATGGATTGAATCTGATGATAAAAAAAAATATTTTCAAAAGATATTACTAAACGAAGCATTAGAGCTAGCACAAATAGTATACCATCAAGCTCAGGATGTATCACCAATAGATATAATATCTAATAAAGAAAATGATGATTATTTTTCTTTTAGTGATACAAACGTTGTTGAATTCAATAATACAAACAACGTTGAGCTTGAGGTTTTAAATTATAATAAAGACCGGCGAAAAACACTCGAAATGCTTAAATTTTATCCTTTAATTAAGGAAATTTTTTTAAAATATAATACTGCCATACCCTCATCAGCTCCTGTTGAGAGGTTATTTAGTTTTGGCACAATGTTAAATACGCCAAAACGACAAAGACTTAATGATAAATTATTTGAAAAATTGATTATTTTAAAAAATAATTTGATTTAATTTTTTTATTTATTTGCAAATTTTCAACTCCCAATAAATATACTACTCTCCCTTCCGTGTTTATGTTATTAATGGGCAAAAACTAATATTAAAATGCCTATTATTATATTATAATAAATATTCATTCTTATATGCGTATGTTATGTTTTTCACAAATAAATAATAAAAACTCTATTTATAAACTATTTTAATTTAATTGGTAATGAAAATTTAAAAGTATCTTGTATTTAAGATACTCTAATTTAGCAAAAGATATAAGTATCTTTTATCTTGTATCTTTTTGATATTTTGAAAAAGATACTAGTATCTGTATCTAAGATTCATTTTTTTATAAAGAATCTGTATCTAGATTCTTTTTCCGGAGGACCTGCCCAACTCTGATTATCCATACTATTTATAAATGGGCATATTACACGCCAATTAAAAAATTAAGTTACTTCAAAAAAATATTTGAATATATATTTAAGAAATTATCGCGAACATTTTGACCGCATAATAAATTTTAATTAATCTTTTAATCGCTAATTAATCTTATTTATATCGTATATCTTATTTAAATCGCATATCTATTTATATCGCACATCTTTATAACGCATGTCTTATTTATATTGTATGTCTTGTTTATATCGCATATCTTTATAACGCATGTCTTATTTATAGTGAACTTCCCAATCTTTCCAGGCTTGCCAAAAAAATTCTTTGCATTCGGGCGACTAGCACACCTAGTGAAAGAGTTTTTTCTACCGCTGGATTGACGTTATATTCAAGGAAATCATCATTATGTCCCAAAAATTTAAATAAAATAATTTTTATATATGATAATTATAAAATTACGAAATCGATTTTGGATATAATAAGTTTTCTATTAAATGAATATTAAAAAATATGCCGAGATATCTGTAGAATAGTGTATATTTATTAATTATTTTTAAAAAATTAATAAGCAATTAAAAAAATTTATCCTATAAAAATTTATAAATGCGCTGATTTACGCCGATTTTATCGGCGGCTAAAAATCGGCACGCCGCCGGCCGTCGATTAGATTTTTTAAAAATTGCGCCAGCCGCCGATATTTCGTCGGCGCACAGGTCTAGTTATATGATAATGAATTTTAAAAAATATTAAAAAATTATTATTATAGTTTCATTTTATTACATACAAAATAAAGTTAATATTGACTAAAAAACATTTATTTGAATTTGACAATATTTGACCGGTTAAATAAACAACACTGAAAAAAATTATGCTTGGCAATATTACTCAATCCAAAATAATTAACAATAAATTAACGACAGAAAACTGTGGAAAAATTAATTATTCTTTACTATCTTTAGAAAGTAACAAATAAAATAACGTAATTAATTTTGTTTTTATATTATTTTAAAATATGGAATAACATTTATAAAAGTCTCAACTTTTGTCTTTTCGGACTCAAATAAAATTAATAGACCTGCAGGCCCGGCCCGTATACCCGGGCCGTATTTTAATTTCTTTAAATATACCCGGCCTGGCCTGATTTTTTTTAAAAAAAATATCCGGGCCGGGCCTAAAAATTTTTTAAAAAAATATGCGGGCCGGGCCTTAAATTTTAAAACCAAATATTTGAAATCGCCATTATTAGCTATAAAAATCAAAAATAAATATAATATTTAAAAAAAATCCGGGCCGCAAATAATTTCTGAAAAAAAAATTCGGGCCGGGCTAAAAAAAATTTTTAAAAAAAATCCGGGCCTGGCCGTGAAAATGGTACCTCTGCAGGTCTCTGATATATATAATAAAATAATTAAAAGTACATGAATGATAAAATAAAATAGAAAAAATAAAAGTAATAGTCTTGTACAAAGATGATGTTTAGCCAAACAAATTAATTAAAATAATATAATACTATTAATGATAATATAAATATTCAAAATAATAATAATATTTTGACACTCATAACAAACCTACATATAGTAAGAGCATAATTATACAAAATTTGAGGTAATATATATTTTTTAAATATCGAATTAAGTATCAATTTTTGCTGAAATTTAAGATCAAATCAAATGATTAATATAGATGTATTTTTAATGAATTATAGTGAATAGTATAGTATATTATTAAATATATCTCACTTATATTATCGGCATCAGTTAAACGTGCCTTTTTTAAATAAAAGCTGTGTTTGATGCTAAACGATCCCCTGTTTATCTGATCAGAATTCTGAAAAACAATTATTGAAAAAAATGTATAAAAAATAATTAAAAATTAATGTAATAAAATTATAAATTATTACATTTTTATACAATTTGATAAATTTTTTAATACAATGTATTTCCATTTCTATCAGGATAAGAAAGTGTAGCAAGTATTTCTTATTTTGTTGAATAGTAAATAAAACCCTAATGTCAGAATATAGAAAAAGCAAAAGATAGAAGCTAAATTTGATAATGTATTTAAGGGTTCACTTAGATTTATTAATATACTGAGTTGTTCAGGTAAATTCTTTATTTAAACTATACCAAAATAAAGTTTAAAACACGGAATAGATCAGCAAAATATATAATTTAAAATGTTTTCTTCTGAATTTTATAGGGAGATGTAGATATAAATACTAACATCTTTAGAATTTTGTCTTGATATCATAATTAGCTAAAATAATTTGAATTATATCATGGCAATCGTGCATCACGAATTTAAAAAAGAATATATCTCAGTCCTTCCAACTATTGCATTCGCAATGTTGACTTCAACATATTGACTCCACATTAATAAATTGCGTTATATGATTTAGAAAATAGCCATCGTTATTTTGTTTGCGCGATTTTGGCTTCGCGATAACTTAACTGTAAAATCTTAGTTATTATTAATTCGCGATAAAAATTTTGCTCCGCGAAGTTCGCGATAAAAATTTCGCTCCGCTGAGTTCGCAATATTGGGTTCAGTATTAAAATTGCAATATTGTCATCTCGGAACCAAATGTGGATTCTCGATTAAAGGTTCAATAAGAAATCATTTTGCCAAAATAAACATGTGCTATTTCGTTGTATTGACATGGAGCCCAGTTTATTATTCCATATCTCTGACTCACCTTTGACAATGAAAATTATATCCTCATATTTATTTTCTATGCCTTAAAAACTGCGCTTAAATGTGTCTCTTTTTAAATATTTTTTCCCCAATTATAGTTTAGAGTTCTAGAAGACAATCCAGAATTGGTAAGACACCTTAGGCTAAAAAGTTCCCCGTCCCTTGTCATAAATAACATTTATATATATAATAGAAAAGTATTATTATTGTTTCAATAGGTTCTATTACACAACAATGAACATTATTAATGTAATTAATTTTAATTTATAAATGAAATGATATATTTATATTTTAGATTTTAAAGTTCGCATTCAATATGAATGTGCGATATAGGATAAATGATATGATATCGATTATCGGAAAATTTAATTCTTAATACAAAAAATGCCATTTAGAGGATTACAATTAAGAGTTCTGTGAATGATATCCAAATTGATCGCAGCTGGAGCCGTAATTGGGATATGCATTGTAACCATAATCGCTTGCAAAACTAGACAACACATGAACAAAAAGAATCCAGTAAATTTCCATTATTTCTTACACAAATTAATAATTCATAATTGCACCATAAATTTGGCCTAATTTAAAATTTTACATCCCTTGCTACTAGACATCTAGAACGAATTTTCCTTCGTTATTTAGTAAATATTATTTTTAACAGGGTGACCAAATGTTTTCAATCTATAATATATTTAATTAATCAAGCCTTAATCTCATTATTTAAGATTTATTGAGTAAAGTGAGACAACAAATAGGGACGAGGGAAATTATTCATATTTATTTGTTTACTCTAATAGTCGCTGATGGATTCGATGTTCAACACATGCAATAATATAATA